ATGTGAGGTTGCATTTCCCCGTATCGACCCTTAATGTTCATTCTAATCATAACTGTTTGGTTATCACACGACTACCTGAGGAGAGCATAGTGGACGAGACTCACTGTGAGCCTCTGAGCTAAGCTAAAGCAGCTGTCCTGCGGAGAGCATTGCCATGGCGTCCACCAATAAGCCCAGAAGACGTGGTTGTCTGTGGCAACCGAAGAACCGGAGAGATAGCGGACAGAGAGAGGGGCTGGACTGGGGGACAATGTGATGCACACAAGGTCCCGAGATGAGCAAACAAACCCAGTGGAACAACACTCAGTGACTCAGTGCATGCATGATCCATTAGTAACTCTCAGCACACATCCACTCAAACACACACACACACACACACACACACGTAACGAGTCTGAGACCTCGGCCGGCGCAATGTCAACATACTGAGCACGCTGATACAATTACAGCAGAAGTGCTTTATGCTATCGTGATGGAAGTATGAAGCGATTCGAGGCTGACCCTCAGTGTGTTGTATAAAGTTTGGCAGAAACAGATTAGGTCCGTCTGGGCTCCGAGCCAGCCGATGCTATTAGCATCCCCTCGGTATATGTGCATCGCTGCAGGCCCAGTTTACATCATGACTCATATCAGCCTGACTTTTATCCACTTTCAAAACTACCGCTGTAATTGCGGAGTCAATAGTTAAGCAGTGGTTTAACTACACTGACACTGGTCAGACAGAATTGAGTAGGGACATGTAGCCTTAAATAACCTCTTACAGACTTTTGGCACATGAGATTTTGTATAATAATGTAATAAATCGGTAATTAAGTAAAAACAAAAGCACATGTAATGAGTGCCAAGACACCACCTGGTCCAAAGTCGCTTAATATCGTGGATAATGCAGAAGGTGAGGAGGGGAGCAGTCAATAATTAAGTGGATCCATTGGTTTGGGACGACAGCACTCAATTACAGCGTAAAAGATAAGTGGGCCAAGTGGGCTTAGGTGTCAGAGAATTAGAACGGCATTCGCTTACTTCCTCCTGACCGACAGAAGCGAAGCCGAAGCAGCTTGTTTGCACATTTTATCTCTGAAACACAATTTATCACGACGCAAAATTTGAAAAAAACGCCGACGGGCAGGGGCCGGAAAATCTCATGTTCCTTAACGTCAGTTTGATTCTGTTTGTTCAAATGCATTTTTAGTGATGACGACAGAAGAAATCTAACTAATTAGAATCACGATCTGGTTCAAAAGCTGCATCAATGAAAGAAAGACTCTCTAAGGATCAAAGAGGGGTAAAAGATCTCCAGTTTGGCAACAACTGTGAGAAAATCGTTGAACTGCTTTCTGTGTTCCCTAAAAGAACGATCAGAAGCTAATTATATAGCTTTCCAAGACAGTTTAGAATTTGAGGAATTTGGATAAATTCCAATGTGTAAAGAACAAGAGATCAAGCTCGGGATACCTCAGACAGCGCTCTGCTGGGAAGACGCTCATTTTGAACTTTGTTCAGAGGCAGCTTTGGGCTCACAGGGTTCTGCAGTGGACCATCACAAGTGTTTACGCCTACTGTGGACTCCAAGTGCTCTGGACCAAAGACCAAAAGACGCGTTCAGGCTGCTATAAGCAGCAGGTCCAAAAACCAGGCCGTGCAACCGTAGGAGGTTTCTTTTGGCCCCCCATGCAAAAAAAAGCTTGTTTACTGGTCTTTAATGACAGCAGAAATGCTCACTAGGACTCAGGTCGTATATATTTTATCCGCACACATGACCTGCCTGCCTGCCTGTCCCCTTGAGAGAATGTTTTGGGGTATTTCAACTAATGAAAATAAATAAATGACTGAATAAGCTCCTATAAAACCACATGCTACAATGTCTTTGCAGGGGGATTGAACAAGTTAACACCTAAAATGTTATTAATGGGTGTCCTTTAAACTGGAATTAGTCAGGGGTTGTAAGAATGAATTACAACATTACAAGGTGGTAAATACATTTTTGTCAAAGCAAAATCTGCTGAACATTAACAAATTAAGCTAAAAAGAAAAAAATCAAATAACTTGAGTTTATAAATAAGGAAACAAAGTCAATCCTATGAGTATTTAACTATTTAGCATTCACAATTACATCCGTTTCCTTATTTTGGGGGTTTTGTTTTTATCTTTGTCAATGTTAAAAGCGTCTTTTTTTAGAGACAGGCGTTAAAATAAAGCTAATCACGAGGGGAACTCCTCGCTGAGATTCCATTTGCTGGGAGCAACAGGTTTTAAAAGCTGTAATTGCTTTCCCCCTCGGCGTGCAGGAATCCTGCAGCGTTACGCTGCGTGGAAAAACAACGCAGGCCACCGATATCTCCCAAAAAAAAGGTGCTGCGTTTCTATCGGGGGAGCCCCTCGGACATCGGTGGCCAAACAGGGATCACTGTCGATCTGTTGAATGTTTGCTTTGACTGAGAAAGAGTCAGCTGCACGATCGCGGTGCGCCGTTCTCTCCAAACAACAAACACTCCAAACGAGCCACAACGAGATGCGTAAAAAGCCTTACCTTGCTCCTGATCTGTCCCGAGGTGGACACTTTTCGGATGAGTTTCTGGGGTCCTTCCTGCTCCGCCTCGCTGTCGGAGGACTCGTCCGCGGCCCCGGCCCCCACCACATGGGCATGGATCCCCGCGGAGGACGAAACGGGCCCTTTCTCCGGCTCCTGTCGAGGGGGGGAACAAAACCAATCGGGATTAGGCTTCGCCCGGTCCGCCGCTCCCTTCTTTTTCTCCGCGAGGCGAGAGCTGTCGAGCGGCTGGGAAGCGTCTCTCCTCGCTGTCATGGTCTTTTTGGCGTGTTTTTTTATTTATTTATTTTTTTGTTACGAGAAAAGACGGCCGCGTTTCGCGGATTGCGTGTGGCGCCGCCGACGAACGCGAGGGAGATGTAGCATGTCGCGGCACAGTGGGGTTGGGCTCCAAATGTCCCCCCCTTGGCTCGGCAGATGGTTGTGGCTCCGCGACCAGTCCAGACGGAGGCGAGAGACCGCCTCATCCAGTCCGCGAACCGGCGGACTGGTCCGTGCCATGACAGACCCTAGCGGCTGTTTTTCACACAAACACTCACTCCCGACTAACAGAGGGAGTGCCACACATATAGGAATCCGTGAAGTAAATCTACTCCCGTGTAACTTTTCTTTTCAAATCAACTAGTGAATCCCATCGTAATATCATGAGGCGATATCCGCTGACGCACCACAAGTGGGAAATATCCTGCCCCAACAGGAGAAAAATCATTAAGGCTACCATACACACAATAGTATTTACTGGGAAGAAAATATAGCCTATACATTACGCACAAAAAACGCGTTATAGGCTTTTCTGTTGATTGTGAACTTCTCCTTAGCGTAATATGAAATTGAGAGCGTCAAATAGTTTGATTTTCTCATACAAAATGGGTAACATCCACTCTTAAGAAGCCCCGGTCCTACTCCCAACTCACGCTCAAGAAGGAAATGTACAATTGGTTTCATTTAAACGTTTGAAATAAAGATTGACAACACCTCAGACATGGAGAAAAGACCGGGAGAGAAGAGCCGAAAAAAAAAGAGTGGTCACACAACAAGATGCGACTAAGTGTTGTTGAAGGCTTATTCAATAATCGTTTTTAATAAAAGAATAACAATTTAAAACCCTGATGAATGAGTTTTAGATTATTTTAGGACTAGGCTACAGTAATGCCCCCAAATCACGGCGGAAACGCGGCTTTTACGCACGACAGCTCGTTGAGAACGAAACATCATCATAGTTTTAAAAAAAAAAGCCACTCTTTGTGACCTCGATTCCCGTTAAGGGGTTTTAATTTTTTTCTTTACTTTGCTTTTTTAGAAAACTACGCAGGATCACATCGAAACCAAAGCCCACTGTGTTGGTTTATACTAACCAGCTCTTCCCAGACAGGGCTACGGCTATAATGATACACATCCTCCATAGTCCAAGACCTCCGCGTCCGCTCCGGGGGAGAGAAGAAACGATTCGGGGTGTAAGATTGAGGAATTCACAACCTGCCTTAGCTGCTCTGGCCTGATGCCACTCGTTTGCGCAATGAGGAGATGGGACGTGGAGCTGGCCGTCCCGCGTCCTCCCACCGCTCCTCTCCCCCTCGCAACGCTCTCTTTCCTCCGAGGGCTGAGCTTATCAGCACTCCACGTGATAAATGTCAAACCAGCTTAAAAATGCGCGCGGCTGGGCAGGAGACTGATCCTGGTTTGAGGTTAAGTTAAAAAAAATCCTTTGTTATCTCACTTTACATGATATTTCCCATTGTCATTAAATAACCTGGTAAATAGCCTGCTTCGTTTCCAGTACAGGACTCAAGCTTTCAGCTAATAGGTTTCAGAATTACTTTATTTATTTAAAAAAAGCTTAACTTCTTTCAGTCTGTGATATATTTTATATTTTTCATTGGTGTTGTCTTTGGGACAGATTGCTAACATAGTGCCTAAAGTGCCTATCTGAAATGGCTGTTGTGTATTGACACTACACCAGTTAATTTTTTGAGTTTGGTTAAAACTGCACACAATATAACAAAGACATGATATTGTTAACCTGAATTTAACAAGACTGTGGCACTTGTGTTTTGAAGGTATCCTTGGCCTGGTGTCTCGTTGACCCATCTTTTACCCAACTGGTTGAGGCAGTCTTACCTGGTTTGGTTTGTCTGTAAGATGCCTCCTGTTAAATGGACATTTTTCTCTCCACTGTCAGCTGTATTTTCAAGATTTTGAAAGAATTGATTTCAGTATTGTGGTTTTTTTATACTGAATGTAACTTTTTTTGAACAGCCATGAAATATATTGGGCTAATTGGGATTTGAATGCAATAAAAAATCTATATTATATTTGGTGTTATTCTTCAGGTGTCAGAAAAATATCAACAATTCAATTTTTTGGAAGTCACTTCATCCATTAATGCAAAGCCCGGGAGGGTGGAACTGTTGTCGGCAAACTCAAAATCATACGGAAGACTTTACCGTCGGACCAGGCTGTCCTCCCGTTATTTTCCTCCGACTCCTGCAGAATGAGCTGACAGACGTTATGAAATGGGAATGAGGCCGGTTCAGCTCACAGTTTAACCAGAAGCGTGTGTTTTCATGTCGTACTGGCAACATACAAAGTCTGAGAATGCACTCCCGGTTGTTGTGTGGCGGCACCGGAGCGGCCATTGCCACCAGAAGGATGCGGAATATTTTGGGTTCTGTGCTGGGAAGAGACGGCTGGATGTGGAAGAATCATGAGGTCAAACTTCTAAGTACATCCGCAGGTACCCTGGCGTTTTTAACTTCAGTGATAACACAACAGACCAGAGAAAATGAGGGGAAATGTTCGCTTGACTTGTGTTGTGCAGAGAAATCCCACCTTGAACTGTCAGCTGCTGGTGGCTGGATTTAATGCTCGCTGTTACATTCGTTTTAGAGGTGATTCTACAGGTGATTTTGTCTAAAACATAGCAAATGGTTATAAGTAGCAAAGGTAAACATTAAATTGAACCGGGAATTCGATCAGTAACTCACAACCAGCTTATGGGTGAAAGGTCACACAGGTGTTTTGTAAGTTCACGTCGTGATGAACACACACAAACAAAGACACACACTTTACACAAATAAAGTCAAAGTCCAGAAATGCATCTTAATTTGCTGACACAATTATTAAACAGAAACCAGTACAATGGACATTATTTAGCAGCCTTAACAAACTAACAAGAATTCAATAAAAAAAAATCTTGGGGAAATTGTATGGCAATTTTTTTTGAAAGAGAGACCCAAGAATTGTTGAGCTACACACAAATCCTGGAAACCACTGGAATCCTGAATGCCTGCTCAGATAATGTAGCTGTGGTGGTGGAAATTTTAATGAGCTGCACAGTTTACGGCTCTCTGCAAGACACCACTTTGTGACCGCTGTAGGTTTCAAGTCTATGAAACAAAAAAACGCTTTCCCAGTCTGTCTTCACTGGAACTCTCTGTGGCGGATCCTCATTCACCCTTTTTTTCTCTTTGCAGGTGGCACCCTGAAGATCGGTGACATCTCTTTCAAACTCAAAACCCCCAAGAATCCAGAGCTTGTTCCTGTGAAACACAGTGCGTCACTCTTAGTTTGAGTTTTTTTTTTTTTTTTTTTAATAACGTGCTTGCACAGGTATTCCCGAATGATGAAATTAATGTATTTATTTTTTCCGGGTCCAACAGCTTCAGACTCACTGCCGCAGATGGTGGCTCAGCACCTGCGATGGATCATGCAGAAAGATCTTTTGGGCCAAGATGTATTCCTCATCGGACCCCCAGGGCCCCTGAGACGATCTATAGCTATGCAGTACCTCGTGAGTGCTCGTAATGCTAAATAAGTAAAGCTAAATGTTTGTAATTGTTTAAAGATTAGTACAAATCAAATACTACACTTAAAGCAACACTGCGGTGTCAGTTAATGGATCCAAATGTGAATTCTTTTGAAAAATACTTATAAAATGAGCTTAGATATCTGTTATTACCTTTTAATTACTTTCTAATATTATTTCTTCTCACAACACTTGAAAGGCACCTTACAAAGTAAAAAACTGTTAAAAAATTAGTTACAAATCTTAACAGAGGTTAAAAGAAAATAAAGAAATATTTGTCTGTTCCAAGAAGGTTAAAGATCAGTATGCAATAGAATTACATGACTCGCATCATTTAGATATCTTTTTATTTTAAAGTAAATGGACCTTGATTAGTTTTTAAAATCTAGCTGGTCTGTTTTTTCCTGACTAGGAGTTGACCAAACGGGAAGTCGAGTATGTGGCTCTGTCCAGAGACACCACAGAGACTGATCTGAAGCAGAGGAGGGAGATCCGCTCAGGAACGGCCTTCTACATAGACCAGGTAAGTCTGCCTCTTGTGGGTTTCTTCACTAACAATCAGAATTTCTCAGAGGCATCTGTTTAAAGTCCTGATTCATCTCTATGCTGAGCCGTACAGCTTTTTGCGCTGGAGCTTTGGGAGTGCTGCTTGTAGTCATTCATTTTATTTAGCGTCCCTGGCATTGAAGAGAAACAAAAATACAGTAAATAATTTCACTGCCATTCAATGTAATTTAATAATATTATTTAATGAACTTTTTAAGACTATTCACTTTAGAAAAGTGCGTTTGGAGCTCCAGGATGCTTAAAAATGGCACATGTAAAATAAAAAAACAATACAATGTCTTAAACTGTATTCTAGCAATGGATATCAATGAAACCCTGCTATAAAAACAGCAGACCTGTGAATAAACCTACTTTCTATCAATGTATATCGTAAAACAGCCCGGAAACCTTGTTTTGGGCCACTTTGGTCTGTACACATATCATTAGCGAGTCGTTTAGATTCACAGGACATGATAAAAGTTATACTGTCATTTCAAAGCAGATTTATCAATTCTTTTCATATTGACCTGTGCCTAAATTTGACTTCGTACCATAGTCATTGTTAGTCATGATTGGCAAGTCAGTCTTTTGCTTCCCGTCCAATAGCAAATTCTCATCAGCAGTCGGATAGCTGCTTTAGGATAAGGGTTAGCTAAAGATGCAACTTTCCTGTAAGGGTGACCATGCTGGGCCCTCCATGCTACTAGCCTACCTCAGTTGTAACGTTGTGAGTTTGCTTTGGATAAAAGTGTCAGCTAAATACATTTAAGAAAACATAAAACAATGGAAATGTAACGTGCAGTTTAGAATGGTGAGCTACACAAAAGGCTACAGCAGCAGCTCTCACGGTGCTTTTTCTTCTTGCACATTTGTGTGCAGTTGAAGAATACTTTTGCAGTTTTTATGGTGGAACAGTATCTCTTTCATGCCAGGAGGATAAATATATGGGGTTGCCGGAACAAAAGCAGTCTTTTGTGGCTCTCTGCAGACATTAGGCTCTGTATGAGTCCCTATGGCATTTTCCGCTGATTTAAATGCTCTCTCCTGGTCAGCCACACCAGGGTGATGATGCTCTCAACAGAACGTTTGTAGAAATGTTTTTTTTTTTTTTCAATCATGTCCTCTTTAATGCAAAGAAGAGCATGTTCCATCTTCCTTCTCCTCCAATCGATCCGCTGTTGGTTTCTACTGGCAGGATTTAGAGTTGGCAACACTCCTTGCTACAGTTTAACATTTTTAGTCTGTTTTTCTTTGCACATCTTTCTCTTTTTTTATTCAATCAAGCTTCATGCAAACACACACCCACACACTCAGTTAACTTTATACATTTAGTAACCATAGAAACTAGCTATTTCCCTGTATCCGCACTGGTTGCTCTCGCCACAACTTTCTGTTCTTCTTTCATCTTGTCAATTTTAACAGCTAAGGCAAACTATCTGGAAAGAAAAGTATCCTGGTCATTAAACTGTTCTTTTTTTTGTTTTGTTTTAGCTATAAGCAGCCAGCAGAGATGCCCAAAAATGATAAATATCGACTTAGTCGGGGTACCACCCACAGCTAATTAGCCCTAACCCTAACCCTCATCCTTGTGAAAAAGAAATCTATTGCGTAACAGTTCGGTTAGTTTTAGGTCTTCAGGAACAGAACAGCTCATGCCTTCTTTAAATTTCACACGTTGCACATGCACATGTTCCAACGATGAATTCAGAATTCTCACCTAACGCATGATCAGAATAGTGTTTACACCTCGTTTCCAGGCATCCGCCTGCATGTTTGTGCATCCTGCTCTGAGTGGTCTATCATTTAAAAAAAGGGTGCCATTGCAGATTAAGGATGAAGGAATTCAGGCTGCTCATGTTAAAGGGTTTTCAGTTTGATCTGATTTCTCTCATTTCTGGCTATAACGGCCATAATAACTTTCACTAAAACGAGTTATCCCCGAGGGGGCTGCAGCACAAATCAATTCAATTAAAAAATGGGCTCGTGTGTGAAAAGCTATCCCAGGCTGCCACTTCCCAGGTGAAATTCCAGGCCTCCATGCAACATTGAAGACACATTCTGGCTAAGACAGACCCACAATGTCCAGTCCGCTTCTGGCAGCTGGTCACCAGGAAGCTTTTTAACTTCCTCTTCCGAAAAGATGCAGATGACTCTTCCTCGGATTCCTCTGCCTGCTCTCTGCTCCGCTTATCGGAATAAAAATGTTCTTGTCTCTTATCAGATTACTCTCACAAGTTCACATACATTTAAAACTGATGAACTTCTGAACTTCGGCTATGTAACTTTGGAGGTAAAAAAAGAAAATGAGTGGCGATTCAGCTTCAACACAAGGCTCTTTTCAGACCTTAACTTGAACTCTCCTGTTCCTTTTATTCACTATTCTTAATTATATTACAGGCTGCTTGAAATAAAAACTGTGATGCATTTCAGAGATTTTCATGAGCACAACTGGCCAATTCAACTCTGAGTCCTTGATAAAGTTAATCTTAATGGTAAAGTATATTTGTGTATCCAGATATCTGCAGGAATTCTCTTGTTTTTGTTTGATTTAAACAATTTATGGCCATATTTTCTTTCATAATCTAGCGTACAGTTGATCAGTTCTGGCTAAGAAGGCCTGTACTTTTGACCTTTTGTCAAAAATGAGCGGTACAGAAAAGCTTTCTCGTATTATCGATGAAATTTCTTTTAAAAAAAACTAAAAACTGTTCAATACACTGAAAACCAGAAAGATCCCTTTAGTTTTTGTTACTTCTTAATCACAAAGAGGCCTTTGTTTTGTAAATAACAAACCGACTTCCTAATTTGGATGGCTGAAAGGTCTTTTTCCAGACAGAGAATTATTAGAAACACTACCTCAAAGTCTGCCGTCATTGCATCCTGTAGTCATGTGAAAAGGAAAGTGCCTCGCCTTTCAGTCGTACGCTTTTATAAATCAGGACATTATTAAAGATCACCAGGTCCCGGTTTTTGAGACTTGTTTTTGAAATGAGAAAAAAAAACAGCCTCAGATGAGCAACATCACATGACATATTTCACCATGTTGTTTGTTAAGCATAATCAAAGCCAAAAATCTGTTTTGTGGAAAGTTAAGTAAAGCCAGAAAGTTCACCCCCAGGTCAGACCATGCATTGCTTCGGGAAACTAAAAAAAACAACAACCAAAAATGCTACATCCCAGCCTCAACGGGCCTTCGTCAACATGTGAAAAGTTAAAGCTTGTTTGGAGGGGTTGAAGGAGAAAACATGGTAACTCAGTATAGGTTTACAAAGTTACAAAAAAGATCACAAAACGGTGCATTGACTGATAAGATCACACAGAGGAGAAATACTTAGAATAAAGGCTGCAGTAAATAGTGGAACTGAATCTTTCACGCTCTTCAGCATTTTTTTCAAATAAAAAACTAATAATGTAATGTTGTGTGCTGTTGTTTGCCCGCGGTTTGATTTCACAAGTAGATTTCAGCTGTATTTTTGTTAAGGCTGTTCAAAAAACTATTTTACAGATTCTAAACCTGATTTTTTTTTTTTCGCCTCATAGTTTATGCTGACCGTAGTCATCAAAGCCTTTATATCAATGTGAGCATGTGACTTAAGAGAGGCCGCATCGCTTTGTGATGGAAAGCCCGAGCCAGCTCTGGCCATATGTGGCCTGAAAGAAATTGGACACAGTCACTTTGGATAAATATTCATGATTATTTCCTGGACCAAAGTCATAGATGGAATCTTTGAAAAATGCCTTTTTGACTGGTTCCTTTCCAATGATCAGCGCACGCTGTCTTTTTCCAAGAAAAAAGCAAAGCGGGTAAACGCCTCCACGAGAGGCGCATCCGTCTCCTTCCTTCTCATTAAAACGAAAAAGTTGTCCATTGTTTCCATGGAAACATGCATAGATGTAGCATTTTTTTTTTGAGAAGACCAAAAGGTGCTGCTTGTTTCCGCCCCTCTCCCCCGGGCACGTGCCTGTTTATGAGCCTTGTGTCTCCATATGTGCCAGCGGATGGCATTATTTAGTAAAAATACACGATTTTGGAACTGTTGACTGTTTTTAATGATAACGTGTGGGTGTGAATTACAAAGCCTCTGCGATCAGGGATAGTTTGATATCGTAGGAGGTGTGTGTTATCTAGAACATTCAACTATTCCTCCGGGCCCTGTGCTGATTCGGAGCCCTAAATTCGGGCTTAATGTGTCAGTCCCGGTGCATTCTGTGTCCCTCCTCTCACTTTAGCTGTAGGTCTTTCTTCTTTTTTTTCCCTTTCTCTCCTTCATTTCAGGCACCATTCCACCCCACAAGTTCGTACAAAGACGGCAGTCACATGAATATAATCGCATGCTTGTTATAATTTTGACATTTAAAGTCACCCCTCTCCATTTAGCCGGCGCTTATGTAAGACGGCCTGCCTCAAAGCCACACGGCAGAGTCTTAAGTCTGTCTCGCACTGTTAGAAAGCTTACCATCTCTACTAAAGCAACGTTTGAAATGGAAACTATTTCAACTAATTCTTCTTCTCCCTACTTTGAGTTGAAAAAAAAGCAACCTATATGTTACAGGTCTCATTTTAATACCTGCACGCTCCTATTTAAGGCAAATAGACACAGCAGAATGTATAATCAAATTAAGGTTGTAGCGCACATATATGAGTGAACAATTGATAAATATCTCTGTGACCAATAAGACAAAAACTCGTGATGATCCTTTGAAAATATCCTGAACTGATGCAACAGCCAGTCAGTTATTGGTAAACCAGCCACCTTCACCATTGGGTTAAAGCTCAGATGTTCCCCAGGAGATGTTGGATATGCGACTTAGAGTAGACGTTATAACCAGAACCCACTGAGAAGTTATAGTTTCCTGATGTGCTGACACAGGAAAAGGCCGTGACATCTTCCAACAATTATCAGAACAGCAAAAACTTTCCCGTGGCCATGAGCCACTTAAGGTTAGTCACTCCAGCAGTCTGTGGCTTTAACTTTGGGATTGATCGGTTTTTGTATATGTATTCGCATCCCCCCAGCATCCTCTAAGTGTTGGTTAAAGGCATCCCAGTTTCGGCTGGGATGTTTTTCTTCCTCCTGTGTGGGGTTCGCATCAGACCGAGCACAAGGCCTGTCTGTGCCTCTCCCCCCCCCCCCCCCCCCTGGCGCCCCCCCCCTTTTTAGCAATTATCTGATTACAGCGTTCGGTGCCGAAAATGGATCGGGAGTTAAATATAGAGCATCTGGTCCTCACTATAGTTTTATGGCTTTTCTTCCCACACAGGCCACCACGTATTTACACGATAACCTAATTACACGGCCGCTCGCTTTGTGGTCCACCCAGACAGCTAAAGTTTCCTACCTCTTGATGTCAGATGTGAAGGGAAATCGGCGCACGCGCACGGCACACACGTGCACGCGCGCCCACATGGTGAAAAACGGGGCCTTGAATAAGCAGGGATTGGGCTGGAAGTTATTGGGGACTGTCTGAACCAAGTAAGCCGACGGGCACATTTGGAAAAAAAGCTTAATTATGTGATTCTTAAAGCAAGCGTAGGCAGCTCACAGATAATCTGGTCGATCACTGATCGCTGGACAGCGGAGCAGCAGATTTGACCGGAGCGTAGGCCGACAGGCTGCTTTTTCAGGGGCTGACATCTCGCATGTTTTTTTTGCCTCAAGTGCGCGGTGAGAGCAGCGACGCAAGGGCGAGTCCTCGTCCTGGAGGGGCTGGAGAAAGCGGAGAGAAACGTCCTCCCCATCCTGAACAACCTGCTGGAGAACAGGGAGATGCAGCTGGAGGACGGACGCTTCCTGATGTCGGCCGAGCGCTATGACAAACTGCTGCAGGTCAGCACGGAGCACCCGTCTGCACAAGTCAACTCAAATCCTGCTCGAAATCACAGAAATGGCCTTAAGTTTGGGGGTTCAGCCCTGTGCTGACCATCGTAAACAGGCTTTAGTACTCTGTTTAACCCAGAGTTTACATCATTTTTATTTTATTTTATTTATTTTATTTTTTTACATATAGTTTGACATCTTTTTATTTAATTTTTTTAATTAATTTTTTACATTGAGTTTTATATCTTTTTTATTTTATTTTTTAAATTAATTTATTTTTTATTATTTTGTTTTTTACATGGAGTTTTACGTCTTTTTTTCTTTTATTTCTTAATTTCTTTATTTCTTTATTTTTTACATCGAGTTTTATATATTTTTTTATTTTATTTATTTATTTATTTATTTTGGTATTATTTTATTTTTACATCGAGTTTTACATCTTTGTCCCTGCGACAAAGTGAAACTTTTCACACCGCTCATTTGTTATGGGAAAGGCCATAAAAACCTTCAGAATTGTAGTCTGTCCCAGTTAACCGCCGCCTCCCTGCATACATGCTCAGTGAAAATGTCACAGATATTTATATAAAGTGCTCAAACTTCATGCTGTGCAGGAACACACTAAAGAGGAGCTGGACAGTTGGAAGATTGTGCGTGTCAGCGAGGACTTTCGAGTCATCGCTTTAGGGCTCCCTGTTCCCAAATACAAGGGCAACCCTCTGGATCCTCCTCTCCGCTCCCGCTTTCAGGCCAGAGACATCTATTACCTGCCTTTCAAGGTCAGTCCAGGAATCTGCAGATAATCCTGCACCAAAAGTTTCCATCCGCCACAGAATGTCTCAATAAGGAAATGAAAAGTGGCCGCGTGCTGAAAGCCCGGCAGAAGAAATGCGTGAAAAATGAGCATTTTCCTTTTCTTTTTTTTTTAGTATTTAATAGTGTACCATCTTTGTATTTTCAGGACCAGTTGGAGTTGTTGTATGCAGCAGGACCAAATGTGGCTGCAGAGAAGTAAACAGAACACGCACACATTCTATAGCTTTGTTTTTTTGTGTGTTTTTTTTCTTCAAAACGGCTCTTTTGTTGATCTGTGGGTGTGTGTCAGGGTTTCCCAGCTGCTGTCACTGGCCACCACGCTGTGCTCCCAGGAATCCTCCAATCTGGGCCTCCCCGACTTTCCCGTAGACAACCTGCTCCCCGCCCTGCACGTTCTGGTGAGGCCAGAGGCGGGAAAAGCAAAAACCTGAAGATCGGGATAAATGAATAAGAAAAAACGCGATTTGATTTGCACTCCTGTTGCAGAACACGTTCCCGGCCCTGTCCGCCCAGCAGCTCGTCCAGAGGCTTTATCCCTACAAGAGTATCCTAGGCAAGGATGGACACTCGGCCGTCGAGGGCGTGCTGAGTGTGAGTGGAGAGCCTGTTTATCGGTCAGTCCAGTCGGTCGGCTGCTTTATTTCATTTGCCGTCCTAACTGCTGTGATATCTTTCCCAGCGCTTTGAGCTTTTGGATGGTCAGCGTCAGCCGGCACCCACTTCCGTTTTGAGCGTGTCCGCGACAAAGGAACTCGACGGCCATGCTGATGTCACAATACGGGCCGGAGACAGAGACGTCACCTTCCAGGTGCTGTGTGTTGTTTGATCGGCGCAAAATGTGAAGATGTAACATTTTTACGACTCTGAAACAATCAAAAATGTTTGAAAAAAGATGGTACACAACATAAGGAAAAAAAACACATACAATTTCATCTTTAATTTGTTCTCAGTAATCAGGCAGCAATCAGGGCTTATGTAAAGGATTATTATTTCAGAGAGACAAAACCGCTACCCTCTGCCGATGGTGATCTCTCTCTTCTTTATCAAAATGAAGGTTCCAGTCGGCACAAAAGAGCCTCGGCCCCCCAACAGCAGCCCCACCTTCATCAGCACACCGAGCCACTCCCAGCTGCTGGCTGAGATGATGCAGTCCCACATGGTGAAGGACATATGTCTGATGGGAGCCAAGGTGCGGGGCATACTGCGCCACACACACACATATGTCGCGCACATGCTGAGTAATATGTGAATTTATTCAAGAGCCCTATTTATTCCCCCAGGGCTGTGGCAAGTCGGTTATTGCCAGAGAGTTTGCTGAGATGCTGGGTTACAGCATCGAGCCCGTCATGCTCTACCAGGTAAACAAAGCTTGTTTTATTCTTTAGTTGAGGTGGAATCAATATTTGTTATATGTGGAAGCTCGGCGGAGCACGAGTTAAAAAAAGAAGAACCCCCGCTGGCCCCGAAACCAAATAATGAATGCCACAATCAGGCGTTGGCCATCTGTCTGTCTTCCGACCCACTTTGGGTGACACATTCAACAGTATGTGCCCTCACACATGATCTTTACTTGATTTTCTGCAGTTTTGTAGGCCAGGCTCTTCAGACTGCTTCCACCCAATAAACAAAGAAAACACTGACTTGGATTCTAGATAAGGTTGTGAAAATATGTATTTATTACTTATGCTGAAAGCATATATATGCTCCAGCCCACCCACGATCCCATTGGGAATAAACGGTATAGAAAATGGATGGATAGGGGGACTTAATGTATTTTAGGGGTTGTGGGAACAACTTCACTTGGCAGGAAATAAAGAAGCATATTGCTAGAGCAACTGATAATGTTCAAAGAGGGGAGTTTATGTTAGATATTGTAGGTCTACTTGGTAGGTCACTCCACCTTTCCACCATCTGGTAGAGACTTGGCAATCTCTATGTTGCCCAGCTACAAGCAGATAACGTTTTGCAATTTATTAGAATTTTTCCTGAATCTCATCTTTAGTCGTTGCATGTCAGGGCGTTTTACAGAGGACTTGAAAGAGGAGACTTGAAACCATCAGGAAAGCTGTTGGAATATAATTATACTTTTTTTTTTCAGCCAGAGGCAACAACCGCTGTAAAGCTGCTGTAAAGCCCCCAGTCACCTGTTACATTTGCATCAGAATCTCATGGTTTCAAGCTCGTGAATAGTTAGAAAACGGATCGAGTATGGATTCGTGGAGGTTACGGTTGAAGTTTTTCCACACATCTCCCGTCTGTGGGCATGCGATTATGCAGGAAGTGGGCGTGCTAAAGCGCCATGCATGAATGTATCATAATGCGGCTATTTTTAGAAAGCTAAGGTCAGGGGTGGCTTGTGCTGCGGGAATTGCAGAATCCTTTGCTGGGTATTTCATATCTTCAGCACTTAAAGACCAACTGGTGGAAAGCAAATAATGAAGGGGGGCGGCATATTTCCCTTCTTCCGCTCTGTGTCTTAGCAAATTTTTGTGAAACAGTGAAATGATGAGGAGCATCTCAGTTGCAGTGTTTCGAGAATACACACGCACACACACGCACACACACACACACACACACACACACATATATATTATATATGTAAATAAGTGTAGAACGTTTCTGTGAATTCTTCATACATATTGTAGAGAACATTACATGGAAGAATGTATATTGTATTCTTCCCCGCAATGTCTCATGTGACTAGTTAAAAAGTATGCACAAATGATTATTAGATTTCTACTTAGAGGGATGTTCAGAACTGCTTTTTTTGTATATCTAACCAAACAGCAATCCATTTATTAAAGTATGACAGAAACATATTCCCAGTCCACCTCCACTCCTCCACTGCAGTTCAGGATTATTGCCAGAGGTTGAAAAGCATTATCGTCATCGATCCATGTTGTAAGGCAGTTAGTCACTCTCTTTAAGGCTCTGGACCAGATGCAGTTAGCTCCGTAATAACTCGCAAACAAATTTGTGTAACATTACTTGTCTTCCCTCTTATAGCCCCCAACTGTGCCGTGACATGTCAGCTTGATATTCAATATGACAGCCTTGCTCCAAAGCCCCCCTCCAACAGAAAAGTGCCATTAACTGTTATCTGTAAAGTAGATTTATCAAATTTAGCAGTTTGGCCACATTTTGCAGGGACGGAGTTAAAAGTGTTTGTGATCCAGGGGCCAGGCTCTGCTTTAGGGACCCAGTTAGTGATTGAAAACTTGTATTTCAAAAACTATGCAGAAAAAAAAAATATATATATTTTTTTTTTTTCAATGAATTAAATAGAATCTACTGTATGATGGAGACATTTGAATTATTACAGCTATTTTGGAACAATTAACCAATTAGGTGTGGGGTATCAAAAAGATTCAGCTTCCAAAATTGAATTTTGCTGCATGAATTGAAATTGAAAAAGTTTTAGGTGCTTTAATCTCACAGAAGCCTATTGGTATGACTTCTAAGGGCCTCTGGGACACAATTAAAGGATTTAAAAATCTTATCAATTGCCAGTAAGAGCACAATCTGGTTGGCTGACAATGTCAAGTAACAAATCCAAATCTAAACTTCGGCTTGGCTTCCACACATTTATTTTCGCTTTCCTTCTAAAAATAAGTTTGTGAAATGGATTCAAAGGAAACACTCCCCATTGTCAGCCCGTTTTCCATTCATGCTCCCCCTGTGATGTGCAGGACATGACGGCCCGGGATCTCCTCCAGCAGAGGTACACTCTCCCCAACGGAGACACGGCGTGGAGGCCGTCTCCTCTGGTCACAGCCGCCATCGAAGGCAAGCTGCTGCTTCTGGACGGTGTTCATCGGGTCAACCTGGGAACCCTGGCTGTGCTCTCCAGGTACCTCAGCTGAAACAGGGACTGCTTCAGCTTCAGGATGGATTCGCTGGTTTTTTATGTGATCGTGGGATTTACTGAAGAGTAGCGTCTGTAAACAATCTTCAATTTTCAACTTAAGATATTGATAATTTGCCTCTTCTTTGGATGTGGGCTACCTTTTGTTCAGTGTTTTTATCAGATGATCCCTCACTGCTTCAGTTATGCTGTGCTCCAGACTCTGCGGAGGATTCAGACATGTTGATATGGATCTTTATATTTATGCCTTAAGAATGGCTAAGTTCAGTGTCAGGTCTGGATATTATTTTCTTCTTAAGGACATCACTTTCAGATACAGATTTTTTTTTGGTTGTTTCAATTTTTTTTCTTATTTTTTATTTATTTTCACAAATGTACCATTTGATGTGTCTTTCAGGGGGTTGCTCACAAAGTGTCTGAGGATATGGTTTCAAATATTTTTTTTGTGCCAATATCATCTGTTAAGTTAAGACACAAGGCTGGAGCTATCCCTTACCTTACTCTTACCTCACTCCTCACTTCTGTTCCAGGCTGCTTCATGACAGGGAGTTGGATCTCTATGATGGAACCCGGCTGCTGCGGTGGGACAGATACCAAACACTAAAGGAGCAGCTCCAGCTTAGCGACCAGCAACTACAAGACAGGTACACACTCACAAAGGAGATCGCACACATCGGGGCTAACTGGGGGGACTTTATTGTAGATGTTAGAGTGTCTGAATCACTGGTTGTGTTCAATTTTTGAAAATATGGTCATTAGTAGGCAATTATAACAGACAGTCATCGTGTAGGGTAGATGATAAAGACAGAAATAGCCCGGGGCGGTTGTCTAGTTAAACATCTTTGTGTTTACAAGTATGTTTGTGTGTGTGTGTTTCTTAAAAAGCCACCTAAGCAAGCAGGAAGGATGTTTGTGGTGGGGCGTCCCTGTTAACTGAAACCACTTCCTTTTCCTCCACTCCTGCGGCTCAGACAAACTGTTCAGACCATCCATGTGTGAGCATGTGTGACCACTGGGACTTTATTTGGCCAGATTGCTCAGGTTACATTTCCATACCCTGTCTGTACACAGTGGCTGATTTAGAAGTTTAAAATCACTCTTTGTCTGTACTTTTGTCCCAAAATAAAACAATGACATATATTACATAAATAGTAAAATGGTAAAAAAGGACATCACATGAAGTAAGATTATTTAAATATAACTGAAGGTGTATCCAAAAACATTAAAAAACAAAACAATAAAAACGCATTCAATTTCAATTAAAATATATTTCACATGCCTAATATTTTGATATTATAGATAGTGTAAATCAAGTTTTAACTTAAGCATCTGCTTGCAATCATTTCAAAAAGATTAAAGCAAGTTTGAAATAGAATAGAATGAATACAGTATGAGTTGAAAATGAAAGCAAGAACAGCACATTGTATCAATGATATAATGGAATACATAATCATAACATGAAAAACAATATTTGTTCATAAAAATAATTTATGTTTCATAATATATATCATATAATGTAAAATCTAGATCTTTTAGTTACAGTTTCCTACTGTTTATATAATTGTTTAAAAAATAAATAAAAAGTTTAGAAGAGTATTTCTAATAAATGTTAAATGCCGTTTTCACCTTAATTCAGAGCAGCAGTGAGGAGGTTGTTTACCCATCAGACCTCTGTCAGATCTAACTGGATAATTGGAGATACTTGTATCGTTAGTGATTTCTAATTAAAGTTATGTAACCCACGACGTCACTGAGCTGAATGGAGAGAGCGTGACAGTGCTTGTGGGAATAACAGGAAATTGAGCGCAAACTTATTCTTATTCTAAAGCGCAGTTGATTGGATTAATGCCAACACCAACAACAAAAAGCTCCACGTGTGAAACTTCTTCCCACACGTTGTGTCCAGCAGGCCCGATGGTAGTTAGCGCCAGCTTTTGCCTGCAGTGAGGTAAATATATCCAGCGTGGGTGTCTCGGTGGTTTGATAGAAATGGACTTTGCTGTCCTGTTGAATCAGAGGAGTTCACAGCGAGCTGTCACAAGTCATGCTCTTGACCCTGACATAGATTGGGTGGGACACACGAATACACACACACGCACACACACTCGAGCAGACATCCTTGACACATTCAGTTTGAACCTCCTTCCCAAAGCTACAAACAGATGTTTGTGAGTGCGGGTGTGCAGCTGTGTGAGTATCTGTGTGTGTGTGTCTGCAGGTCAATCCTTCCCATCCATCCGTCGTTCCGAGTGCTCGCCCTGGCCGAGCCCCCGGTGGTGGGCGCCAGTTCGAGCACGAGCAGCAGCAGAGGTCAGCAGTGGTTAGGCCCAGAGCTGCTCACCATGTTCCTCTACCACACCGTGACCCCCCTGGCCAAAGCCGAGGAGATGGGCCTCATCCGAGGCCTGGTGAGAAGCGCTCCCCTCGCCGATGATTTATCTCCGTGGCATTCATTCTTCTTATCAGGTCATCTCACTTTTAGTTTTTTCTCCTTCTCTAGACTCCTAACGCTCCAGAAGAAGCCGTGGAGCAACTACTGCACCTCACGCACAGTCTCCAGAAGACAAACGACCCCACGGTGAGTCGGCGCGCTGCTGTAACCTGCTTCGCTCGACACGTGCGTCTTTAAAATAGAACGTTTGCGCACGCCGTGTCTTCCCAGGCGCAGTCTCTGGCCTCGTCTCTGTCAACCAGGCAGCTGTTGAGGATCTGCCGCCGCCTCTCTCAGTACCCCGAGGAGAGCATAGCCCGCGCCGTTAATAAGGCCTGTCTCTCAAGGTGCACACAAACAAACAACCTCAAGCTGATGTAGTTTATGATACATTTTGAAGTCATAAAAAAAAAATCACTTTTTAATGAGTGTTTAAAATATCTGGAGCCATTTGTGCATTCATACAAAACAAATGAAGGCTCAGAGTTTTTTTTTACTTACTCCATTCCTCACCTCATGAATAGCAGGAAAAAGAGGGTGAATGCACCCCAGTAATAATGAGAGCTATAAATAAGTCGAGTCATCTGTTTTTTTGCAATATGCGGTATGATTGTGTATTTCAGGTTCCTGCCCAGCCTGGCCCGTGCCTCTCTTGAGAAAAGCCTCAACAACTGCTCCATTCAGGACAAACCGGATCCTGCTGAACACACTCGTGACTATCGCTGTGAGTCCCACATATATCACAGATGAAAGCAAAATGTTCCTGATGCTGTTTATGTTTTCTGGTTCAGGCTTTGATGCCAGACCTTTGAGTTAGATCAAGGTCACAATTACAAAATTTTTGTTTAAAAAAAATGTATATATACTGTATATTGATTGATGATATATGTTTGTGTGTGTTTGAATATAAATATATATGACTTTAGGTTAATTGTAATAGACCACAAAGTAGCATCCTCAAATGTGTAATTTCAGATTTTTAAAAGAATGTGTTCATTGAAATGAGAAAGAAATAGCATAATTAAAAATGTCTGTATATGAACAGACGTGCACTTTTTTTCTTTCTCTGCTTGAATTTTATCATTTATTTATTTTCCAGACAGGGCATGTTTTATTGAAAAGCTACAAATTCAGGGGGGGACACAGAAAGTCTGAAACATAAGAAACCTACCCTTTAATTAATCTGGATCGTCTCATGTTCATCTACACTCTTCCTCTTTGTCATCAGGTGAGGTAAAGGACGGTGTGTTGACTATTGGAAGTGTATCGGCTCCTATCTACGTCCCCGAAATGAAAATGAAGGTTCCCGATGTGCTCTTCTATGATAACCCACAGGTAACCAAACACAAGGTGGAACTTTGTTGCATTAAACACAACCTCGGAGGCAAAACATGTGTTATTATCTCTGTTGGACATCAGATTTCTGTTGGTGGATTCCCTTCATACGAAATATGTTGAAATGATGACTTTGATCACAGACCGTGACATGTACGCCTGTTGTTGTTTACTTTCTCTCTGGTGTTGGTCACTGTGGCACAGTGTGACTAAACCACAGTATGCCCGCCCAGAGGTGAGCCAACCGTGGAAATGACACTCCGACATCCTCTGGCAACACCCATGACGCCGTGTGACCCAGATTTCATCTGGTTCTGGCTTTGTCCTCATTCTGCCCCTTTTCTCTGCCTGCCTGTGTGGGAGACTAAGAGAGAAAAAAAAATAGAAGAAAGGATGGGTGCAAGGAGGATGTCCTACTTTTTGAATGACCTATTTTCTGTCAAGAGAGTTTAAGCATATTTATGAGATGGAGAGAAGACAGGCTAATTTATTTTTCATAACATGTGTAACACTGTAAAACAGTGTGGGTTCTCCTGATGCCTTTATGTCGTCAGAGCTTTGATTTCTGAATTATTTACCAAATATGTGCTTGTGTGTCCGCAGCACATGATGGTGATGGAAGACATGTTGAAGGACTTTCTATTGGGAGAGCACCTCCTCTTGGTGGGCAACCAGGTGAGTGATAAGAGCTCGCCTCTAACACAAAGCAACCTCCCTTTGATGAGCCATAGATGTCCACTTTTGACTGTTGTTGGTCTCAAATGTCTGTGTCTGTGTCTGTGGAGGTGTGTGTATCTCTTTTTTGCAGCAAACACCCACACATGTCAACTCCGTTTGAACACGGAGGGGAGAGTTATGAAACAGGCTCCCAGCATTCCGATGTCAACCTCCAAATCTGCCCGCTCACAGCGGGCTGTTGGCACAAAGACGCATGTAGCCCTCCCTTAGGGACACAGAGTGTCCCCACTCCAGACCCAATGGGCAGGGTTAAAGGGAGGATAGGGGAGGGGGGGAGAAAAAATGGATATGGTGTACTATCACCCCAGAGGAGGATGTCTGCGTGCTCTTGCATAAATGTTAATGCGCACGCGCGCACGCGAGAAAAGTTTGAGTGGCCATTTGCAAATCCGAGTGCATGACCATGCATGGGCGAAGCTGAGACATTAGAAGCTGTCAGAGCAACTTACTGGACGTCTGACAGACTGGCCGAGAGATCCAGCATGCCGTCCAGGAGAGGCCAGTGGGAGTCCCGCAGAAGAGCCCGTGTCAAAACGGAGCATCGTCAAAAGCAGGGGACACTTCTGGGTTTTCCTGCTCTGCAGCTGGAACGGAAACCTCTTTATCTATTATTACAGCCCAACATGGTTTTGTCGATGACATATAGCTCTCCTTCTAAGAAATGAAGCAGGCACAATAGCGTCCTAAATAAACTAGGAGTATGATGGCTGCGCATACCCCCAGGTTTTTACCCAGAGGTTTGGGAAAATGGGGTCTAAATTTTGTATGGAATTGCTGTTCCATTATGGGATTCCCAGCTTGAAAAGCAGCATACCGGTCACCCTTATGAAAGATGGAGCTCCGACTCTTTTCGAATGTATTACCCCACACATGGGCAGTGAGTGCTGCTGCATCATCTCAAGAGCGAATGCTGTAAATATTTGTGTTTACATGTCTGAGGAATCTAGAACATATTTTGAATATTTCTAGGTCCCAGTGCCTATGTAAAAATGGCTCAAACACCAGTTTGGGCGGAGCGACGATGTGACCTCCATCCGTTTTCAGCAGACTTCGTTTAGAGTCTGTTCTCGAAAAGAGGTTCATATGTTTTGTGAGGTTTAATGTAACCTAATGATGCACTTTGCTGATTGTTTTTTTCTGGTCCCCCTGTAGGGTGTGGGTAAAAATAAGATAGTGGACAGGTTTCTGCACCTTCTGAACAGACCCAGAGAATACCTTCAACTCCACAGGTGAGAGTTAAATAGTTTTTTAAAGCAAAGACTCTGCATGCTTTTGAAATCCCTTTAACGCATTTTATGTTTTTAAGTATACCCATTTGAAGCCTCATTTATCTACAGCAAACATCCATAAACTCAAGCAAAACAGTAAAGATGAGTGGCACAGAATTCCTTTGACAGCAAACTGTTGAAAGAGAACCATTGCATGGTGGGTGATTTATTGGCTTTGTTACACGGGGGTTCAGCACCTGTAAATAATGTCTGGTCCTTTTTTTTTCACATCACCGTATGTATGCTTTTAAGTCTCTGTAGATTCCCATCAGAATGAACAAAGTAATCCTCTTTCAGGGGAGATGTCAGCTACCAGTGTGCTCTCTCACCAGCATGCCAGGTCTTTCCATATATAAGGGTGTCAGAAGTATTTCGGTCACAAGTAAATTAGGCCATTCTTCACCAGAACAAGGACCTCACATGTTCGTATCAAAGAGAAACCATTTCAAGGAGTCCTTTTTAACTTGGATTTTCTGCCGCTTTAAATACTCCCAATCGCATCTCTGGAAAGTTAGGTCAGGGTTAGTCATCCATAAACCGGTTGTCTGTGTGCCGTATAATCAGCTCTTCAGCTGAATGTTGTTTAGATCAATCAGAGGCCCTGAGCAGTAATAAGAAGACAACTTGATCAGTGGCACTTAAGTAAAAAGAATTAATTCTTAAAGCGTGACAAGGGGTAGAAGTGAAAGAATTAAGATAAAAATAAAACAAAAAATAGAGACCTACATCTCCATTAGACCTATTCAGTGCAAATGTCGGTGTCACCCAGTCGAGCACACACACAGACACAACCATTCTCTCTGGGTCTGTGTGTGTGTGTACTTAGTCAAAGTCCTGTGAAAGTCGAAGTGGGGCCGAGCATGAATGTGGCCTGGTTAGCTGCCGTAGTGGTAGCTAATATTAGAGCATGGCAGAAGCAAGAGGATCTGTGCATGTGGCTTTAGGGAGGCTGCGAGTGAAATCCTACAGAGATGTGGCTCAGAAACGCAAAAGAGAATCAAACCAGCCTGGAAGGAAACTGGGACAAGTCCTGGGCCATGCTGTAAGGTGTGGAGTGGTGGAGGGAGGTGCTCAGAGAAACAGGGGTAGGATCATGTTGGACAGCGCTATCGAATTGGTGCAGATAGATTTATGTTTATGTTACTGGTCACTTGTAACTCTGATCTGCATTTTCGGTGTTCAGATGTTATCCAGACAAAGAGACTGCACAGAAAATGTGGTTACAAATACTCTGAAAGCAGCTATTGTGACATATTGAACTCTAAACCCATGTTCTCCTTCTACTTTTTCAGCTCCACCTCCACATTAAAACATGTTTTTTCTATTATCGTCCTTTTCACTAAGCAGACTAAAGGTTATACTGGGTCAAAACGCAACAAAGCTGAGAGGAATGGAAAGCCCATTGGCACAGGAACCACTCCGGTGGAAATGAGACATTAAGATATCAAAAGACTTAAAGTAATTATTAGATCAAGATGACGGTACCCTAATAATTACCGTCCATTAGATGCTAAATCAGTATTTTTCCTGAAAGCAGGATGGGTTGCGTTTTTTTCCCCAAGAATTTACAGTCCCTGAATTAGAATTATGTAAAGCACACCCCACATCTTGCCCAATGACAAATGCAATAGGTTGTTTGCCCCCCCTCCGCAATTCTGAATTGGATTAGGCAGATGTAGGAAATGGATTGACAGACGGATATTATTCGATTATTGCTCATTCATCCAGATATTGGCGTTTTGGTCAAAGGGACCACATGACAGCAGAAAAACTTGTTTTTTCAAAAGAACTCATAATAATTCTTATTTTTAACGATGAAAACCGTTTCACTTCACTGTGTACCTTGTTCAGTGCTTGTGATTGTAACCCTGTTTATTTTTCCTTTGCAGAGACACAACAGTCCAGACTCTGACCCTGCAGCCATCAGTTCGAGATGGCATAATTTTGTACGAGGACTCACCTCTGGTTAGTTAATAACATTGATGTTTATTTTCCTTAGATATATAACATGAATGATGTTTTTAATTCCTCATAAATGTGTGCAAAAATCGCACATGTGAACGCTTATTTTAAAAACGTAAATCAGAAAAGGAGAGATGAAAAAAAGGAGGCAAAAAATGATTTTGAGCACCTTAGCCGCCCACACAACGGCTCAGCCAGAACCTCCCGTGGGAAGTGTTGTGCATGCTAAAGGTTGAACCGTCTGCCGTCTGTGCGGGGGTGACATGAAGGAAGCACTCCTGTGATCAATTTTGGCTGCGACTTCTTTCAGCGGGAGAGAAAAGTGGCATGCTCAGGTTAAAACAGGACGAAGTGTCGAGGAGGAGGTGTGATTGATTGCGTATGATTAAGAGCACTTTGCCTTGGTGACCTCCTCTTCCTCACCGACTCAACCGTCCCCAGATTCTGATCAATGATGGTTCCTGTCTTGGTAATGACTCTATTGATCTTGCCGGGGTCTCTGGTGCTGATGCTGCTGCCCCAGCAGACCACAGAACGGCAGGTGGCACTCACCATCAGAAACCCAAAGAAGTAAAGTCAGTTTTGATAGGAATATAAAACGTAGCCTTATCAGAAAGCAGTGCCAAGTTCTTAAAAAAGCCCATACTTACAAACTTTTTAGGTCGAATTGGTTAAATTGAGGAAAAGTAGAGGGTGAAAGGTCGATATCACCTGTGTAGCTCTTTTAAAGGCCCCTTGTCTCATAGCTGTTGCTTGTAAAGGCTCATGAAACTGTTAACAGATGAAAACCAGATTATATTCAGCTGCTGTTTTCTCCATTGATATTTCCGTAAATGTTTGCGTTCAGGTCAAAGCGGTGAAACTCGGTCACATACTCGTGATCGACGAGGCCGACAAAGCCCCCACTAACGTCACCTGCATCCTCAAAACTCTGGTGGAGAGCGGCGAGATGATTCTGGCCGACGGGCGCAGGATCGTCTCAGGTACGTTCACACACTCACGATTCCAGCACCAGAGGATGTCCCGGATAAAGAATGAAGATACAAGGAGGGCAATTAGATAGTTTCCTCTGAGGTTTGAATGGTGGGTGCAAGCTGGTAAATGAGGTTTAGGATTCAGGAAACCAGCAGTTTCTCGATCTTGATGGAGTGTAAATATGATGAGCTTCATATCAATACAGACATGGGAAGATTGTCTACTGTCCTGTGATCGTGTTGTGAATCTATTGCAGATAGAACAAATGTATCATTTACGAATGCGTTATTGTTCATTTGGATTGGTAACTATGTATTTTCTCTAAAGATCCCATCGAAGCCGAGGGGAGACCCAACACCATAGTCATGCACCCAGACTTCAGGATGCTCGTCCTGGCTAACCGTCCTGGTTTTCCATTCCTCGGCAATGACTTCTTTGGAGCTTTAGGTGAATGAATGTGCACAACCCAGCACCCTGTAGGAGAGGATTAGTAAATGTATGTCTTGTGGAGTTAATGTACATGCTCTAAAGCGTTGCAACTGTATATTAATGCTTACTTTTCTATCAATTTAATTGTTAGTTGCTCTACTGAAATGATCCCCATGTTTTTATCTTAATTAGTCATAAGTCTATTGCATTGGGATCTTTCATGTCCATGAGCGTCATGTCTAAAGGTCTGTTTTAGAAAACTGTCAGAGATGAAAAGTGTCCAATCAGGTTAAAACTTGTTAACTGTTCCCTGGGATACACAAGGAGGATTCCTTTGTGAACTGTTTTCCTGTAATCCTGTGTGATATTGTCAAAAGTCAAATCTGCTCTGTGATCTGTTTCAGGGGACATTTTCAGTTGCCACGCTGTGGATAATCCAAAGCCCCAGGCCGAGCTGGCCATGCTGAAACAGTACGGCCCCGACGTCCCCGACGCCACCCTGCAGAAACTGGTGGCCGCCTTCGGAGAACTGAGGTCCATGGCCGATCAGGGCACCATCACCTACCCGTACTCCACCCGAGAGGTGGTCAACATCGTCAAACACCTCCAGGTACGATGACGCTCACAGAACGCGCTTGATCTTTTTTTATTAACTCCGTTTCAGACTCAGACTAGTTTCCGTTAATAATTAAACACATTTATGTACTCTCGATCCTCCGCGGCTTTTAATAATGCAAGAGAGAGTCTTCGCGGCTCAGCTGTGTCGCAGAGGGAAGACGGTGTTCCCTGCCTCCTCAGTCTCTCGCACTAACACATGAACACACACCCCAAAATGCGCCGTTACCCAGTTAAGCGTTATGTGCGAGCCGTAGGAGGATTTTTTTCACACCGGACATCTATCAGGTTATGCAAGAAAAGGGCGGTAAAAGTGGAAATCTGCACAGCTCCTGCAACTGTTGATGTCAATAACAATACGACAGTGTGCAGATCTGTTCACGGTTGCTCGATGACAGCCAGATGTTCAGGTCATGTGGCGGCAGAATAAGCCCAGATCATCAGTTTTTTCTGCACACGTGCAGCTCTGCTTTGGACAAAGTGGCATTGCTCCCGCGAGGACACGTGCTTGGTTTTTTACGGATCCAATGATCAGGTTTGTCATTTTCTCTCCACTTGTGCTCCGAAATCCATTCAGCACCAAAAAAGTAAAACAGAATAACGAACAGAATTCACATTTTTACTCACGCAGATCAATAATTCAGTGCGCCGGAACAAGCGCATATATTTGTTTTATTTGTCTTCTGTCCTCCGTCACCGCCATCACTGATATCTGCAGGAGTCGCCCAAATTGCCTCTTTTTGAGACGACGGCTGCTTATGGCTGTAATTAGCATTGCACCTTTGGTCATAAAGGCTCCTTTGTGGCAACAGGAAACCTTGATCAATGCAGATCAGTGCCCTGAACATCCAGCTGTGACCTGCTGGGATGAGGCTCGTATTGATTGTGAAGAGAGTTATAGGACTGCGTAATTGCCTCTATAATATGTTCTATGCTCTAATACTGTCCCATAATGCATTGCTCTTTGGTCACTGTCAGTATAAAATCAGTAATGTCCAATTACTGCCTCTAACGAGATTTATTTCAGAAAGAAAGCAGTGTGATGTTGGTTTAAAATTAGGTATTTGCTTTTATTTCTACCTGTAACAATTCTCAATTTGTATTCAGATTTTTTTTTTTAGCATGTCCTCACATTTTAAACAAAGCTTCTGTTTTTTACTGCATGTGAAGCCACTTGAATATTTTATTGTAAAATGAGAGTTTGATGAATGAAGATTTAAAAACTTGGTAAAAAGGTCCATCTTTTCAGACGGAATATAATTGTATATTTAGGTCAGGGAGAATAAAGTGCATGAGGATACCCTCAAATCTCAATTCTTTGCTCATGCAACATCGATCGTGTAAAACATTCAAATAATCGCCCAGTTGAATCCCAACAGAGATCAGATCAGACTGTAGCTTCTGTGTCTCTTTGAGTCGGACACGTTTTGTATTATTTCACTTGTGACAATGGGACGTTTGATTCAAATAAACACAAAAGCGTGTGTGATACAGTCAAAAAACGTCACCCATTTAAATGAAATTGATTTAACAATTTTAAATGAATTAAGGCAGATAAGAGGTCCAGACGTCCAGTCTCCTTACAAACCTCCATACCTACATGCTGGTTTGGAGTCTAGATATAAAATTCGATTAATGAATTATGTGTATGACTTTAGTACACATAGTCAATGTCACTATAATGTTTCATATGTGGACAAACAATTGGATTCCTGATGCAGACAAAGGTTTCAGTATGTCGACCTACAGTAAACTTCTTTTTCAGGCAAAACAGAAGTATTTCAGAAAGTAAGAGAAAAGCAGTCCCATTTGAGCTGAGAGCTCAGTGTCAGCATCTAGAAACGAGTTACCCACACTGTGATTTCTGTCTTATTTCAGGCTTTGTGAACTTAACCTAAGCAATTTTTAAAATTCTCTGATGTTCTCTTTTTTTTCTCTCCCACCTCGTTTTGCCCCTCTCTCCGCTCCCCAACCAGAAATTCCCCGCCGAGGGTCTGGCCAGCGTGGTGAGGAACGTCTTTGACTTCGACTCGTACAACAAGGACACCAGAGAAGTTCTGATCGAGGCCCTGCACAAGCACGGCATCCCCATCGGAGCCAAGCCCACCTCCGTCAGCCTGGCAAAGGAGTAAGACGGGAACGCTTGCTGTTAGAACCACGCACACACGCTGTAGGCATAAGAAGGGTTACAAGCAAAGTCAACGAATGTAAGGTAGCGGACTCGTCTATCTCTTCTTTTAAAAGGCAGATTAAGCGAAATGTGAAGGTAAGGGTCAGCCTACTGCCATACCTCACATCCTGCTAGTCAGACCATAGTGACTCATGAAGTACAGTCTCACGCAAAGATCTGCAAGGAAGAAAAATGCTTTTATCTTCTATTAATTCTATCATTTGGGAGAGAGCCATTTTTCTTTCAATTGCCACTCTGTATCAGAGAAACAACTCATTTCTGTCAGAAGCAGTTTTAGGGTAGTAAAAGTCACTACATAGTCTAACCTGCTTTGATGCGAAGCGATTTTTCTCATGTTATCTGAAGTGAATCAGATGCCTTCGACCTATACGTATTGAGAAAAAGAAAGTAATCTCGGTCAGGTCCTGTGGTCTGTTCAGGCCCCACCCACCAGCCCACATCAGCCTCCCTGTAATCCAAAATTGAATTAAATGGGACATGAAAACTTGTTACAAATTTGTATTAGACACATACAAAAAAAATATTTTTACTAATCAACCAGTTCTATCCTTGTTGAGTAGGGTAGATTATAGAAAATGGTTAAACTGACTTTGAATGCATAATTCCAAATAGTGAAACAAATATGATTTATGACTAATTCGTTCTGAAGGATGCACATTTACGCTTATTATTTCAGATGCAACAGCAATGTTTCATGAAGCTTTTGTTTCAAAAACGTCTCCTTTTATGAAAAAAAAACATGTTAATTTGACTGTCTATAGGAAATGCTCTCCAGAAACTTGTTACCAGAAAGCGTTGGTGGTTTGTACACCCGCTTTAACTATTTATCATGAATAATAAACAATTCTAAAATTCACATAACTGTCTAATAATGTACAGTTTTGTCTTTTGAATAAAGGAAAATATTTGTTTCCTCTGTCTCCTGTGGTTTTATTTTTAAGTATCACATTTGGATATTGAATTCGGTTTCATGACTAAAAAGTCAAATCTGAAGAACTAAGCGGGGCAGAGACAAGTATTTTCCTTTACCCAATCCAAAACTCATATATAGATTGTCTGCTCTTTACTGCCTTCTCTGACATCACCCAAGTCTATTTGCTCATCTGTGTCCTTAGAGGGTCTGCGTGGGAGTGATTTGAAACCCATCTTGAACAGTTCATGTCAGACTTGTTTCTTTCACAACTTCTCATGTACATGAAAGCAAATATTTTTACTCTTGATTTCCAATTTTGGATGTGGAAAACATGAAACCATGTCTCTGGGCCTTGTTGCTTTTCTATTCATGGACATATTTATGGTTAGATGACGCTCCATCCATTAAGCCTGCTTGCAATCTTTTTGGAATGTGTGTGTTTTGTGGTCATGGTGCATCTTTCGCCCCACCTGCAGCCAATAAGACTGTGGCAACGGTCCAGCTGGGATTCATGGGAACCCAGTAAACATCAGCTTAGCAACTCAAACACACTCATAGGTTTTCATCCTCTTCATATTGCCTCTATCCTCACTTGAGACCACTGGATCAAACCAGAGGTCTTGCTTTTTTTTTAAATCCATCTTAAATGATGGCAGCAAGTCACAGGAGCCCCCCCCAAAAAAATATTTTTTTCTTTCCCAAATTAAAAACTCTGAGAACTGCAGTGCATTTTATGTAAAAAAACATAATGTTTGAATCAATTTTTGCACTTTTTAGGGCTAAACAGTTTATTGTCTTCAGGTTGCCCCTGCCGGAAGCCAGGATGACCGGATACTGGACAATTAACCAAGGTGGCAATGCTCGACGCAAACTGCTGTGTCCAACAGAGACCCACCCAATAGACATTAAGGTATACACGCAGCTCATTCAGCGATTCTCCAAGTTCTACTTTGTAAAAGCAGTTATTGCAAAAGGTGTTCTTTCTTGAATGTCAGTCATAAACTTGAAACCTTTGTGTCGGACGTGCTTGCTGCTGTAACGGTGTCCCGTGTGCCTCCAGGGTCCTGCGTTTCTTCGTGTTCAGAGCTATCCCTGCGACCGACAGGAGGGCAGAGCTCTGAGCTTCTCCGAGGAGAAAGCCCATTGGCAGATCCCCATGAATGAAGTTAACATTGTCTGTGATGTCACCACCAAAGAGGGTACTTTACATTTATTTCAAAACACACGAATGACAATTGCTCATAGGAGTTACTCTCAGGTCTTCTCAGACTTTGAGCTTTTTTAAAATCATTAGATGATCCAGCAGATGAAGAACAGATATAGGTAACAGAGATGTGATATTAATTAATGATCTTAAGCTTTTAAGTACAATTCCATAGCCATATCTGATCACCCTGCTTAAAATAAAATAAAAGACTCGAGACACAAGTGGAGCTATCAACTAAAAGCTATTTAACCTAATCTCAGTGAGATGTCCCCTCTGCTTGTGCGTTGACAGACACAATGTACGTTGCCATGTGCAACCCAGTGACCCTCTACTCCATGAAAGAGCGCGGGGAAACAATTCAGTGCATGGAGCTCTACGACGTCTTCCCCAGGACCATCAGCGGGGTTTGGCAGCCGTTTGTCACCATCGCTCCTCTCGGGAGTCCTCTGGATGGACAGGTGGTGCTGCACGAAGAGCAGGTGGGCACACACACTCTCCCACACACACACAGACACACACAGACTTGTGTCATAGCATTTAGATCCAGTAACCTTTGGACAATGTTGATGTGGAAGTGGAGCCTAGAAACAGTTTAATAGCAGTGTTGAATTTCCCAAACCAAGAAAACAGCTGTGATGTTCCCAGTTCCAGAAAAAAATGTTCATTTTTTACATTTTTATTTGAATCGCTCGTGTAATAATGTCACCACTACTGAAAGAAATATCTCCATTTACTGTGAAGATTAGTGGTTAAATGCAACCACGAGTGTAAAAAAAAAAGGAACATATATGCAAGGATGTTCATCTCCAATATTCTTAGGGTTTTGTTTTTTGGCCCAGAAGCTGCAGCATCCCGGATTCTGACTGGTCAGACAAAAAGGAAGCTTTTCAAAAAGTCTATTTTTCATGTCCTTGTTTAGCAACATGAAAATAATACAACAGTGTCATTTTAGAGGAAAACCACAGATTCCTTGCAGATTAAAATAGATGCACATAAATAAGAATCCTTTTCTTGGTTGGTGGTTTGCACATTTGTTCGCTTTCCAATGTGTCTAACCCCACAAGGCCTGCCCTGTGACTGAGGAGAACAATGCGCGTTCACTTTCTCCCCGACCAGAACTCTCGCACAGCTGGTGCGTATTAGGCAAGAGGAGGACCTCTAAAAATACTGTGGTGATGGATCATGTTTTGTCTGTCCAAAAAATGAAGAGGCCCAGACAACACGAGGTTCACTCGCAGGTCGTTGGCCTTTCAGGGAAATGGTCACACAAGTATTAGAACACAAATATTAGATCGTACATGGTATTACCCAATGAGCCGTGCATATGCAGATGTCATGATGCATCATTCGTTAACATGCAAAAAAAATCCACAAAAACGCAATAGTGTATAAATCCTTTATGTGTGTCATATGTAAACAAGCACACAGTGACATGCAGGAAAACACGTGTGCTTTCACATGCACGCAGTCCCTTTCATGGAAGTATATGTTTAGAATCAGGAAATGGGGTTTGCCCTTTCTGAATAGCTCAAACAGCCCTCAGCACAGCAGTGTGCGTCCGTGCGTGTGAGAGTGTGTGCGTGTGAGTGTGTGTGAGTGTGGGTGTGTGTGTGTGTCAGGAACGGGAGGCCATGAGGAAACTATTAGTGTGAATCAGAGTAGCTGGGGCTGAGGCCAGTTCCCTTGTGGCTCCTTCTCATACAGCTCAATTGAAGATGAATCTTTGTGCGTCACAAAGCCTTTTTGCACGCTTCATCCAAAACACACACACACATCAGAATATAACGCACACAAATCTAGATGGCCGTACAGACAATATGTCTGCTTTAATTAAATTAACTTAGAATGCAGTGTTCAAATAGAAATAGTTGGATTGGTTGATTTCACAGCTAACATGAGCTCAGTGCTGGGATACAGGGGATCCCACATGAAGAGGAGCACTCTATGGCCATGGTATGAATGTGTGGGGGGGGGCAAAAAAGGGACCATGCGTGACTTGACACTAAGAAAAAAACCATTTGAATTAAAATAAGATTATCCGTTTATCAGCTGAGGGTAAGCAAGGCATCATGGTCCAGCAAGCCAAAATCCCTCTCCCTTTTTACCATTTTGTGCACAGTCAACAGAGCTGTGATGAAATGGGGGGGTCTGTGCAGTCGTGTGCACAAAAGCTTCTGAAATGCAGATGCCCTATGAAAAAAAACTATGTTGCTTTAGATTTTATCGGTGTTAAATTGAATGAACAAGTATAAGAACAGCTAAACACACTGTAATGGCATGGGGCACTTAGTTTAATCATTTTCAATTTTGATATTTAGACTATCCTCAGAGACATTTTAAGGTTTTGGGGGGTAATTATACTATGGATCAAGGAAGCTTGCAACCTAAAATGTATTAACCAATGCTCTTAAAATAATTTAATGTTGATTTGGGTTGTTTCTGCAGTTTTCATCCCTCTTTCCATTTATCTCCTCGCCAGAGTAACACAGTGCTCCATTTGGACATGGTAACTGGCGCTGTGCGGAGGCTCCTGTTGTCTCCAGAAAGTGATCAGCCTTCTTCCAAAGCTGCCAACTGGTGGAACAGCAAGGAACAACAGGTCAGAGTTTTCACCGTCTCCAGAGAGAGGCGTTTACCCGTGGACCAGACTGCATAAGTGAAAGCTTTTTTTCAGCCAACTGTCCCAGACTGCTTTTCAAGGGGTGAAGAGGAATGTTTTTACAATTGACTCCAAAACAATGTTTGTTCACGTGGTGCGTGCATTTGTTTTTTTGCAGGGAGGGAACAAGATGTGTCGAGAATTTTCCCACAAAAACTGGCTTCTTTTCTATAAGGAGGATGGGTATGCATTAAGCTCTAAATTAGATTATCCAAAACAGGTCAAACCAGGTTGCTCTTGGTCAAACTATGGACAGTGGTGCTGAGCTTTTTTTTATGTGTGCAGCAACCAGCTGGATGTGCTGGATGTGCTCGAGGGCCGGGTTCACTCCATCTCCCTCCCTATCAACCTGAAATCCGTCTTCCTGGTTGCAGAGGACCGCTGGATGCTGATGGAGAGCAACACCAATAAGTGAGGAACTCATTCGAATTATCCCCAGAAAACGCGTCTTTAAATTGAGTTCTGTCATATCATGAGTGTATCTTGACTTCACAGGAAATATTTGCTGACAAAGCCCATGCACATGACAGCCGAAGACTCCGGAGTGTGTCAGCTCCACAGCATCAACGAGGATCCGGTCAGCTCCGGCCATGGAGTCAGTTCAGGTATTCGGAGGGAATGGAACGAATGGTATTGGCAGTTTTTTTAAATATCATGTCACTCTGTTTCGGCATTTAGAGCCTGGTGTTCACTGACAAAGAATATTAATGCAAATGACATCCTTTACTTCCTCCATCCCAGCCGATGTGTGCGTGCCACAGATGGTGTCTAATGAACAGCTACCCAATGAGAACCTCAGCGCTGCTCTGGACCAGAAGATTGTCTCCCCAAACCGTCTGCTGGCTGACACCGGCTCATTTGCGCAGATCATCGTGGGCTTTCCAGACCTCATGGTGAGGTTACAGGTTGATATGGTGGAGTCAATCATAGGCTGAGCTAATAATTGGACTGTATGCATTCTAAATACCACCGGAAAACGTAATCTCTTACAGAGAATATAAGATCAAATTCACTGAGTTTGTGATTCAAATCTAGTAACATGTGAAACAAAGTAGGGCAGTTGATTTTTGACAGGATCTCATTTTGTGGATTGTCGAACTGACCTGAGTGCACAGCTGAATGACTCTGTATGTCTTTTCTCAACCAGTCCCCTAACGAGGTGTACAACTTCAAGAGGCCTGTTGACCTGACAGCGATGAAAAGTGCTGAAAGTGGTGGTCACATGTTCTTCAAAAGTGGGCTTCGGAGCAGCACGGCCAAACGGGAAAATTGCGTCAGCCTGCTCCCAGCCAATCAGGTGGTCCGAGCCATTCCACCCAGCAAAGTGCCGATCAAAGAGATCTACCCTAAAGGTCAGAGTTGAGATTAAGATTATGTTCGAGACACGATTCACACGGGAAGTGTAATTTATTTTTGAATACTTTGTTCTTTGTCACTCAGATGTTACTCCACCAATGACAGCAGCCTACCTGGAAGTGGTGGATCTGAACTCTAAAAAGCTCAAATACATTCCTGTTCCCAGGTAAATGGAGCACATCTGATTTTTACTTGTGGAATAACCTGCAAAGCCCTCAGGATTTAGTCCTGATCCTGCATACTCTACCACCCCCTTGTGGGAAAATATCAGAAATAAAAATAACTCTAATACAACTATTTTATAAAGGAGTTGATATAACTACTGCCATATCAACACACACTTTACAGTTTCTATTCCTACATGAGCTTTGACTTTATTTTATCGTATGATTTTGTATGATATTTTCATTATGAACCCCAACATATATATCTTGGCAACTTATTTTTTATTATTATGCATCTAAGGGCAGTGATTTGACCCAAAACCAACATAGAGCCTGGTTTTTGGACCAGCTTCCAATAAATGTCAGGATGCTTCTTTTGGTCTTTGTTTTTATAGCATTAGGCATCCATGTCAGTCAACAAAAATCTGGAAAACTGATAGGAAAGTGGTTCATAGGCATTCTTTGTTTTGTTTATAATATCTTGGTTTATACTGTTTCCAGCCAAAAGAAAAATAAAAGAGTAAATGTAAAGATTATCTGTATTTTCCCTCTGAATTATCTGTATCAGCAGTCCAGATTCCCTTTCCTTTCCACATGAATAGCATGACACGGTGATAACCTTTTTTTCTAGGATGGTAATGTTAGAACGTGTCCTGGTGTTTGTGATCGGCAGGTCAACGACGGTATCTCCCTACACCAGCTGGCTGTCCAAAGTGTCAGAATCCGACGTGCTTCTAGCTGCGCTTGGATCTGGGAGTGTGGCGACAGTAGATATGGGTGGCTACGTCCGGCTCTGGGAAACAGGACTGGACAGCCTGCAGCGGTCACTGATGGAGTGGAGGAACATGATCGGGACTGAGGATGGCAGACCCATACAGGTAATACTGTATGAGAGACGTCTCCCATCTTGGAGATTCTGTCGGCCTGCGGTTTGCGTTACCACCACTGAGGGGCGTTGCTGCTTTACAAATAACCGTCAGCGTGAAGTCCCTCAGCATGCTCTCCGTCCTTCTAGCAACGTATTCTCGGAACATTCCCAATTTTATGAGCAGCAGAATTTATGACAGTACCCAGTGTACAGCACTTTATAACCACTGGACAACATGGCCAGTGTGAGTAAGCATGAATGAAGGTGCATTGTTGTGATGATGCAATAGGTTTCGACCCTCCGCATGGGTCAGAACATTCAGACCACTCAGACTGAGACAGCATTGTTCAGGTGCCCACATGTGCACACAGACAGAGACATTCTTCAGATAATGGAGCCTCGCAGACGCGAGATGCAGTATCTGCAAAATCTGTGTCGGGTAGTCGAGGAAGAGAAGTCAGGACATGGCTTGAAATGTCAGGATAGGGTTTATTAAGGACAGTTTGTTCAGCTTGATGTCTCCTGATATCACGGGCTGTTTAATCTCTCATCTTTTAAACATAAAATGACATAAAGTTTTTAAAAAATGCATAAGCTTTAAGAAAACCAGCGCTGAATAAATCATTCGGTGTTCCAAAAACTATCCATAAGGATGTCTTTCATGGGAAATTATAGTAATTAATAGAAACACTCTTTTGCACCTTGCACACCTGCAAAGCAAACAGGGCCTCCTTCTGGCCTAGATTCCTCAGTAGTCAGGTCGTCTTTGATGGGGCACCTCGCGCCCACCATAGGTCAGACTTGGACAGACTCTTTTTGTGCTCCATGGCAGCTCTCTGCAAACAGTAGTTCTTCTATCTTTAAACATACCTGCCTAAAAGTTTCCCTGTGTATATGTTACATGACCAAAGTATTTACACAAGTCAAATTCATACAAAACTAAATACTCACATGTAAGATAGCTTACCAAATAACTTGTTTGTATGACAAGTAGGTAAAATAGCTATCCAATTTCATCCATTGATATCTAGAAAACTCTTCCTGGCTCAGTCTGGTTTCACACATTTACAAAACAATACACAAACGCCTAGAAAGCATTAATCATCATCTGTCTTTTACACAACATGTGCTCCATTTGTTTGTGGTTTTGAGGGACATCTCAACAACTATCTAAGCAATCCAGTCCCTAAGCCTGACATGTATCTGTAAATAATGGTTGTTCTATACCCCTATGCCCTTTGTTTCTTTTGTTCCACTACTAGTACGGTCGGCAGCCTGCCACAAATTTCCCTCCCTACTCTTGTCATGCTAAATCCACTTTATCAGTCTCTCATATACAAGTATACACATGCTTGCTGCTTGAAAGTGCAGCACTCTTCTTAAGAAAATGCCTATAGCATTGTGCAATCTACTGTATGTTTCTTGGCTGTGGAAAATAGATTTCTCCTCAGTAGTTTTATTATCCCTTATTAAAATACAAATTAACACAAAAATGCAATTTCCGAAGGTTAGATTTTAATGCTCAGCACCTCAGGTTTAGCTACAGCTATTTAAATGGTCATGACACCAGATTTTAGGGTGATGGAATGAGCCGCTGGGCCCCCTCCGACCCTGTCTTCCATGGAGTGTTCCCCTCTTTGAGAGGGGTCGGCTTTATTATACCATGGAAACAGGAATTTGGGGGAAAATTACACTCAGTAACCCTTGAAACATGTTATTACCATAAGAGTGCACACTCACCAAAATGAAAGGAACATACTTTCGACAGTTTCATTCTGACATATTTCTAATTCCCTTGTCCCCAGTTCAACCACAGACAGTTAGCGCTCATCTCTTTAAAGAAGCTGTTGTAATGTTTTGAGTTGTTCCAGGATTTTGAACATTTTGAAATTTCTGGAGGCCATCAAAACAACACTTTGGCTGTTTCATAACGAATGATAGGCACCCTCATTTCTATTTTGAAGCGGTTGCAAATGTTCTAACCTTCTTGCAATACTGACATGCAGCCCGGTTCATATTGGGACGTGCGTTTGCCCACAAAATACCCCCATAAGTGGTTGAATGGACTTGTGCAACTCCATACACAAACACACGTTCACTCTCACACACAGCATCCCTCCTAAATCACGCTGTCTTTAGGCATTTAACGAGGGATTCAGAAATTTATGAGGCCATTAATCCTACAAGACCAGGCGTGGACCACAGATGAGAGAAAGACAGACTCAGTGGGTGAAAAGCAGAAAGACAGGAAGGTGGGGGTAAGACACTTATTCCCACAGTCATAAAAATCAGATTTCCCCCATTGTATCCACCACCACTCCTATGATCTTTCCATTTCTACTTTTTTTCACCTTATTTCCGTCCTCTTTTTCAGTATTAACTCATTCTTAAATTGATAGGGTCCTAACAGCATAGCATAAATTATATAAGAATGACTCTCTTTGAAAATATATTCAAACAGCAGCATCGGTGAAAAACTTACATTAATTTGCCTTTGAATTATGTATTCATACTGTTTGAATTTATTAACTATGATGCTCCTATAGGGCTTTTAAATTGTATCGCACTGTTCACGGCTTCTTTGGGTCTGGTTACCTGCAGGCATTTCTACTTGTTGCTTGTTACTGTGGAGACGATAGCATTCTATACCAGTCATTCTTACAAGCTCAACCCACAGTGTCAGCAAATTTTAGGTGGATCAGAGCAATGTTACTCCTCTGTAACTGACAGACTGAACTATTCTCAAAGATGAACCCTTTGAGAAAATAGATAGTTGTCACGCTCTGGTAACAGAGCAGACTGGAATCATTTGTGGTTGTTGTTTATTAAAACTTATAGTCATGCTTTCCAGCTCAAGAGAGGCTCATGAGTGCTTCCCATCCAGAATGATAACGTGAGGAGAATATGGCAACTCTAAAAATCTCCCCTCCCCGAACCCCTGTAATCCATCGCTCGTCATTTTCTTTCTTCACGCCAAAATTAGAACCTTAGTCACACATTTACTGGTTTCGACGAGGCCGGAGTGGAGTCCGTTATCGGTGTGATGCGTTAATTTTGTCTCCAGTGCTGCAGTCTGTCTACCGTCTGTACAGCGTGATGACATGGATGGATCACTGGAACCAGACAGTGATGAGGAAATCCCTGTCAGCTCAGTTTTCCCCTCCGACAGATGGTTTGGAGACAGGGGGGGAGAGAGATTTCAGGGGGGGGCCAGCCAGCGTTTCGACTTCGGGGATGTGGTTCTGTTTATCTGGTGATCGTGATCACAATCAGGTGCATACCTTCACTAACCAGCACGCAGAGCTCCTGTGTTCCGCCGTTTCTTTTTGTGCCGGACCCGGCTTGTGACTCGTGCTCAGACACATTTGCGTCGGCGTGAGATCGGATGTCAGTCACATGGTCGAGGTGAGGTGCCGGAGGTGCTCTGCTGTAATGCAGGCGGCTCAAACCTTCGACCCTTTACCTAACCACGCAGCTATGCCGGTTGCCGGTTGCCTGACACAGGTTCAGCTGTCAGAACAAACACGCGCCCCGTGGATTGTTACAAAAGCCGGACCAGCGGGGGCCTTTGTTACATCTTCAGTTCTCACACAAAGCAATTGAATTGTTCTCATCAAAGACACCACTGAGATCCAACAACAGGGACAAACCTAATTCTTTAAAACCAATCTAGAATAAATATTATCATCATATTAATTTAGTAACCACTTTTATCCAAGAAAAATTGCAAGATAGAAGCTTATCTCTTGGCAATGTTGCTCAGCATCTTGTCCGAGTCCACGGGACTCTGCGGGGTTTCTCTTTTTAAAGACCACGTCTGACTTTTGCCGTCCAGCTAGGACCGGTCAGTAAAGATTTTCCCGGTCTGATTGCGGGGTTTTGCGAAACGCGGAGCACTGGCCGGTCCTCATAATCTGTCGCCCTGCACATCAGGCTCACTGCTAATCTGAACTAAATATAGAGAGGCCCGCTGACACAGCAGAATCGTGGAGCTCTGAGCTCCCCTGTGTGTCGGTTTGAGGTGTGGCCAGCGGGGTCTGTACAGGAACTCTCAGATGAAGTGCCGCACTGTCTTGATAAGTCTTTGTGCATCTTACAACAACAGCAAAAAACAAATTGCACACTCAAAGCCATTCCTCCAGTTCTTGCAGGGGAAAAAAAAAAGAGAAATCTCCCCCACAGATACATTCCTAAATGTGTGCCAGACTTAGCTCGGGAGGCCGCCTCGCCTCAGTGTGGGAGCCAGAGTGCTGATTTTGGCTCGGATGGAGAGATGCAACAAAAAATTTCGCGCCGGCCTCTGTGTGCATCCACTGCTTTCCTCTTCAGTGCTCCTCTGCACAGAGCGCTCCGATTTGTGCTTCTGCCCAGGCCGAATCTCCCTTAATGCTATCAGACAGGGGCTCTGTTACGGTTGGTTTAGAAAACGTTGTCATGTGTTGATAGGAAATGCATCAATTTCGAACCTTGAGTACATGCGATTTTATTAAGAAAAAACAAATATTCCTTTTTTCAGATAACAATCGAGAGGGACAGTGGCCTGGATGTTTCTGCCCCGAAATACGGCAAGATCGATCCAAACAATGTTCCCCACGTTGGGGGAAACCAGTGGGCAGGAGGCACAGGTAACACTTGTTTCTCAGCGTCCACCAAAGCTGGACTTAGCTGATTGCAGTTCTCACAGACCCTGCTATGAGTGATAGCAATTGATGAGGTATGTTCTTGAGGGCACCTGTGTGCTCTGTTGCCCTTAGGCAAGGCACTAAACCTCCACCTGCTTAACCTTTGCAGAGATAGCTTAAACTGTGCTTATAAAGAGCAAATGCTGGAAGCAAAGTAATTATAGCTGTGAAATGGATAGCTGGTTAGTAGATTACTCAATCACAAGTAAATGAGCTTTTCATGAAAAGGGAAAAAGACATTTTTCATGTATGAAGTGCACTAAAACTGTCAATGGTAACAATATCGATGGTTCAGCGTTTAGCAGTTTCAATACTTAACTAGAGACTTGTACAAGTGACCCAATAAAGTAGTTATCAAAGAACTGGTAAGTAACCAAAAAATTTGATTTTAGTAAAGCTAAATTTGATTAGACTTGTTAGACTCGACACTGTATGACAGCCTTGTTTGTTTTTTGGTCTCTTCAGTCAGATGTGTTGTAATTACAAGGTTTAGGCTTAGTCATGTCTGTCTTGATGGGAAGGATGAAATATCTGGAATAAAAAATAATATATTCTAAAATGTGAAAACATTGTTAGTATAAGCCAAAGAATCCCTATATATCAAGCTTATTATTCATAGGATGCTTAGTTTAGGTAAATATTTGAGTAAATTTGAGCAATTCGGTTCTCTAATGCCTCCTTACAGAAGGCCACTCTCCAACAACAATCATATTGTCAGGCAAGTCCAAGCAGACAACAAATTACCAGGTACATGATCTTTACATCATGTCTTAGGCACTCCCAAAAAAACAGTGTAATACAAAAGTGGATCCCTTTGAAATCCCCAAATCTGAAGCAAAAAAACAAACAAATCTAGTTTATATTTGGTACTATTAAAAGGAAGTTTGAGTTAAGACTTTTCTGTTTGTGAGAGGTTGCTCATCACAAAATTTGAGTAAAACAAGTCGAGGAGTGGCATAAAAGTGGTGACACTTGGATTGGATTTTTTTTTTCAGGTGGCAGAGACACTGCTGGACTCGGAGGAAAGGGGGGCCCCTACCGCCTGGATGCGGGGCATAAGGTCTATCAGGTTTCCCAGGCCGAGAAAGATGCTGTTCCAGAAGAGGTCCAAAGAGCAGCCCGTGAAATGGCCGAGAAGGCGTTCAAAGAGAGGTAGGATAACCGACTAATAACCCATATTCACACTGAGTTCGCACCATGGGTAGGAAACCTCATGGAGGACGGAATGTCTTTTTTCCTCTTTGGAAAAAAAAAAAAAGGGGGTTCAAGAGATGTGTAATATGGAACAGGTGTGTGTGAGTTAGGATGTGTGTGGGCCATCCGCGGTGTCAGTCAGCCATCCCAGGTATGGTGCCCCATCCTGGGCAAACAACGCCAGGCCGGGCTGCCCCGGCTGAATGGCTCAGCTCAATCATGGTGGATCCCACTGGGTTTGTGTTAATGTGTGCGTTACTCCGTGTGTGTATGTGTGTGTGTATGCGTGCATTCACATCAGAGCCGAGGGTTGAGAGGGCATCCCTTTCACCGGCTCAACCATGAAGGCCGCCTCTGTTCACTGTTCACTCTGGCTTCAAACAGTCCTTACTCTCTTTTCTCCCCCCCCCCCCCCCCCCCAACCCTGTCCTGCATGGCACCCCTCATACACTGGCTGCTTTCACACCGAGAGGACAACCTCTCAGTCTCTCCTCCCACCCTCTGTTTATCTGCTCTTTTTTTTTTTCTCTCTCGCCCTCTTCCATCTATCACTGCCCTTGTTTCTCTAAATTTGCTCACCTCCCCGTTTTCTGTTATCAGAGCTTCAAGCACGCGGGAACATCGTGTGGATACACGCCGAATCTTTAGGTTAACGTCAGTCATCTTAAACGTTCCCTGATACAGCAGGTGAACCGAAGGGCTGTTTGGTTTTTCTTTTCTTTCCACGTCAATCAGTCGGGCTTATTCTACCGTGTTTTGCATGCGCCCGGCTCTTTGTGTGCTTTGCTTAGCATCAATCAAAGCATTCTCCGTCAAGAAATCCTCAAGTGTGTGACACACACAAGCACAAGCACAAACAGGCCAGAGAGCCAGTCCTACTTTACACAACCTGGATGCTTCTCCACCTGTTCATCGTCCATTTCTTTCTGTTTGTCAGCTACTTTTTATAGGTTTTGTGATAAACACTAGTTTCAAAAGCAAAAAACTCTGTTTTTGACAGCCAACTTTGTAATAGGAAGTCAATATAAGAGTGTTTAGCAGGTTTCCTTCAGCTGTGAACGCCCTTATTCACTCACAAATGTGACACGCGGTTGAACAGATAGCGAGCAGTTAGTGCTATTACTGTTAGTCATTTGTCGCAAAATGAATTAAAAAAAAAAGATCCCTGTTATTTGTAGACAACCACAGCAAGCAGCAGCTTTTATGTACATTTGTAAAGTTTTTAAAGAGAAGTGCGAAACCACAGTAAAAAAAAAAAAGAAAACAAACCATGATCTGCTGCATCATAACGAGCAAAAGAAAAACGGACAAAACACTCCCTCTCTTGAGGGAGTGTTTGTCCAGCGTTGGGTTGTAGGGAGTGCCGGCCTAAGTCCTTGTTTTTGTGGTTTTCTGTGTGTGAAATGCAAACTCGCCTCCACCTTATGGAGTAAAGGGGAAAAAAAAACAAAAACAGCATCTCTCTCTCTCTCCTTCTCTGTTTGTCACTGACTCTGTGGCTCTCACGTGTTTGAGTCAGGGTTCAGGAATTCAGAGGAAAGAGCTGCGGCCACGCATCCTTGCAGACACATATAGACGCGCAGGAATGTGTGGAGGAAGCGGCCCTGGTGCGTGCCGTTCAGTTCCCTGACACGATGCGGTGGGAATGCCGGGGAACAAAGCCGCTGTGTGTGTGCAGGTGGAAAATAAGCGAATGATGTTGTGTGTGACTGGCAGAAGCAGCCTAATTACAGCAAGCAACTCCTGAAAACACTGGGGACCGTTTATCCTCAAAGAGGAATCCACGGTGGAGAGTATGCAGACAAAAATTTATATGTGTCACTCTGACAGTCTGATGTCTGTCCTGTCATTTCTGTTTTATTTATGAGCTGATCGGAAAAATGCGAATAAGAGAAAAATTGGAAAAAGAGCAAAGTATGATAGAATGGCGAAGAAAGAAAAGAGGAAAGAGAGAAAATTGAATAAAAAGTAGAACAGTGGAGTTAAAATTTAAGAATAAGAAGGACAGGAGGGGAAAAAAAGAAAAAAGAAAAAAATTTTGATCTTAGATGCTGTTAAATGAAAAATCTTTAAAGTCAGTCTAGTGTTTGACTTACTGTAGCTGCTGTAATTGAACCTCTTTTTTTATTTTTTTAGCGATTGTGCAGGTGCTAGCGATGATGTGTGTGTGTGTGTATAGACACGCTCTTCTTTGATGGTACGGCTGATGGCGGCCCAGTCAACACAACGCCCCTCATGCTGCACACGCAGATTTGTTGCGGCCCGCGTGACACATCGGGCCCTGTGCTTTATCCTTTATCCTCCGATCTCAGCCGGCCCTCTGAAGCCACAGCGCCCGTCGCGGTCTAGTTGTCGTCAAAAGACACCTGGCAGATATTTCACCCATCGCCCTCCCTCCACACACACACACACACACACACACACACACACACACACAAATGTATCCCTCTCTTTAAACACGATGGAGGTAAGACCCCTACCATACCTCTGGGGGATTCTGTTTCGGTGTGTAAGAGATACTTTAGTACCTGCACACTGGGATTATACCGATAAGCCTGAATTGGGGGGGGGGGGACCACCAGTCTTGTCATGTCTGACAGGTGCGTTTTGGAAAGAACACACCCAAAATCACCGACCCCAGCACAGAGGCGGGGGGCCTCAGCGCCCTGCCGAAGGTGCTTCCCCCACAACAACAGTTGTGTGTTTATTAGGCTTCCGAAAGTAATCCCAGTACGGATGTTATTGATTTAAACTCTGTGCGTCTGTTGCAGGCTGAAGGAGATCAACATGAGCGAGTACGACGCCTCCACGTACGAGCGCTTCTCCAGCGCCGTGAGGCGGCAGGTCCAGTCGCTTCGCATCATCCTGGACAGCTTACAGGTCAGCCTCGCTGCTCTCTCCATCCCTTTCCAGACACACCCGTGCACGACAAGTCTCCGAGGAGAGAGGCGTTTTCGTCTTTTCAGAGACGTGAGCAAAAGCTGTGTGGCCGTAGAATTAGCAGGTGTCCGTTTTTTGACCCTCGGCCACACGTGGTTGTGCCATATGAAAGACGAGGTCCTTCCCTCCAGACGTTTCTGATTGGCCGACACGACTTGAATTAAAAAGCATCGGGGAGTAGTGTTGAAATATCAAGGATGTGATATTGTCTCCATTTCATTGTTTTGGTTCCCACTTTCCTCCTTTTGTTTGTGTGTCATGGGATGAGCGTCACAGAGCGAGCACCTCCGGTGTGTGTATGTGTGTGTGTGTGTGTGTGGGTGGGTGTGTGTGTGTGGGTGTGCGATGAGAGGAAAATCATGTAGCATGCAGCGATGATTACAGAGCAGCGACACAGAGGCTGGCTCTATTATTCTGTCCTCCAGGTGTGGAGCTCTGTTTGTGTGTGTGTTCCATCCAGGTGTTTGCAGCTTAGCTTTGAACAAGAACGTTGGTTGTTGTTTGTATTCCTCTTTCTGGACCCGGGCCTCCTTTTTCACTCCGAGGATGATGGAGATTATTCCAATCCCAGCAGACAAGACGCCATGAAGTCATGTTATTTTTTCATACCACACCTGAAGAGTGATTTAAGAAGCATGTCACACACACACACACACTTTACCCCTAACCATAAATGGCAAGCTTTCAATAAACGCATAGTGTATTGTTTCCATGTGCCCGAGGGAAATCCCATTCAGTCATTCTCTCACAATGGACCGGTTATTCTGGAGTAAAGATATTACATTATCAAGTATCATAGTGCTAACACTCAACATTGATAGTTATATTTACTTTTGATTTCTTATTTTTAGACGAAAAACATGTGTTTCCTGGTACTTCAGAGCTCCAGAGGATCCATTAACTGGCAGTCAAACCGGGATATATTGTTGGAGGGCTGGTTGCAAAGATAAATTAAATAGGGTCCAAATCTCTTGCTTAGCAAGATAAATATATATTTGTAAAGACTTAATTCAGTCATGACACTTTATCTTTGGATTTTATTACACAGGCAACGAAGCAGTGCTTAAGAATGTCTAAATCTGTGAATGCCCACATATTAATTGGGAAGTTTAGTAAAGAAAGCATCCAGTCGGATAACACTTAGATGACGAATCAGTGCGATTATATCTTCACTCTGGGCTGTTTTTAGCATGTTTGTGTAAAGGTCCCATCCTCAGTGCCCGTGCAGGCCATCTCTGTTAATGGCAGTCCTGCTGACAAAGGGCCAAAAATCTACTCGACTCTTCCCCAGAAAAACCCAACAACAGAGCAAAGTCTTCATTTCTTGTTTATGAGACTTTTTGATAACTGAAATAATGACCAGGAAGTGTTTGCGCCAGACTTTAATTGAGCATACTCACTTTCCTTATTGTTGGGGGGAAAAAAACATATAAGTATGTGTGTGTGTGTGTGTGTGTGTGTGTATACGTACGTACGTCTACTTCCTCTCATTTTTTGCTCGCCGACTGTTTATCCACAGAAACGTGGAGCTATTGTTGCTTATGTCAGAGCTTATCAGTGATGTAAAGTCATGAGATCTGTGTCTTCTCATGTCTTTGTTCTTTTGTGTGACCACACGTCATATGCTTATGAAAGTGGGTGGGGAGCGTTGGATCGAGTTTCCTTCCTTTGTCAGACGTTTCTCCACAGGAGCTCTCCTTCCTCAGAGAAAACTGAAGACAGGAGAGAGTGATTTCTGCCCTCCCTTCCACCAAATGACAATGTCAGAGTAGTTACTAAAGGAAAAGGTGGTGGACCTTTAAAGTGGCTTTTTGTTATGTGGGCATAGGCGGCAGGGAAGTGGTGCAAGAGGACAGAAATACACGCACGTGCAGGCTGTGAGCCGCTTTTAGTGTGATCATAAGATGGGTGTTTCACAATATTTCAGAAATAGAGATTATACACATGCAGTTACACAAAATACGCAAGACCCGAAGAAAGAAAGAAGCAAATATGCATGACAATCATTCCTGAAAGAAAAAATCCCTATTCCTAAAAAACAACTATTCCTGAAAGAAAAAACACAAACCCACAGAGAAAACACAAAGAAACACTTTTTCCAGAACTACAAACTTGGAACAAATGTTTTCCTTGTTTTTGTCGTTGTGTTCGTCCTGAGTTGTCACACTTTGTGAAAAGTTGTTATTGTGGTTTTTGCTATCATATTTTTATTGTTATGCTGTTTTTTTGCTGCATGTTCTAAACAAATTGTTTTCAGGGTTTTTTAAGGTCACCATGAATAACTTATAAGTGTACTCAGACTTTGGTTGTGTGTCTGTGTGTGTGTTTTCCAGGCTAAAGGCAAGGAACGGCAGTGGTTGAAGAACCAGGCTCTGGGAGAACTCGATGATGCTAAAATCATTGATGGCCTAACCGGAGAGAAGGCCATTTACAAACGCAGAGGAGAGCTGGACCCTGAGGTGTGTTAGTGTGTGTGCGCGCGCGAGTGTGTTTTTTGCTACTGATGTCATTACATGGTTAGGTTATCTTCATTTTGATCAGCCACACCACTAAACACACGAGACTTTACGCACATAATTTCAACCGTTTATCTCCCAGATGGTACATTCCAGTGGTGTGTGTGAGATTATTATTACAGCCTGTGTTCCTCATACAGTTTGTGGGGATTTCTTGTGCCGTCATGCATGCTAGAGTTAGCAAGCATGGAAACATCTTAACCATAATACGCACACCTTATCTTTATACTTATTTTTGCCCCTAATGTTGCATATTTTTGGTGTGGCCCGAAGGTCGACATGAAGATAATTACACTCGGTGATAATGGCCGGCCTTATTTTAAGACGGCTCCGCCAGAATCAACAGAGCACCATTTAAAAGGTGTATTTTTCTTCCGTTTAATCATCAGATTTTCTGCCTCTTTACAGCTGGGCAGTCCACAACAGAAGCCAAAACGTTTCCGGGTCCTGGCCGACGTGTCGGGCAGCATGTACCGCTTCAACGGCGTGGACGGCCGGCTGGAGCGCTCCATGGAGGCCGTGTGCATGGTCATGGAGGCTCTGGAGAACTATGAGCACAAGTTCAAGGTGAAAAAAATCACACCACCGTAGCGTTTCTAATTAAAACGTCAATGCTCCAACCCATGTTTTTGTAGATCAGACCATTGTAGATCAGACCCTCTCGCATTTCCTTAACCACCGGCTATGAAACAGCAAAAACAGTTGATAGCAAATAAAGCCAAAAGATCATCAATTGATAAGAAATGCGGAAAAGACAGAGTAAGCAGAAGTAATGACCAGGAGGAAGACGTCCAACAAGTCTGAAACAGCCTGTGTCAGACTCAGATGATCATTTAGTCTGACTCTTTCCCTTTACGATAAAAAAAAAGTATTTAGAAGTATTTTAGAAATAGTTTCATGATTTAACAATGTCTTCGTCAGCAATTCAGTCGAGATAGAAACATGCAGGGTAGAGTAGGAGTCCCTCTGGGTTATTGGTGTAATCTACTTAATCTAAAGTTAGTCCCTCATTCAGGCCAGTTGAATTTTGCTTTGAATTTAACAGCAGTCTGTTATTAATGATGATGATGGACGTAGTTTACATCTAACAACAGCTCCAAACAGGCATTTGAAATAAAAAAAAGTAAATTATTAGTAAAGCTGCTTTATTCAGCAACTCAAGCTTCTTGGAACAAACTGACGCTCAAATCTATCTTTTCAGACAATCGTTTGAAGATCACGTGTTTAATAACGTTTCTCATACATCCTGTACATGTTGATGTCAGGAGGATCTTAAGAATACTAATGCAAACTTACAAATGACTGACTCAGCCAGTGGTGACATGGCTAAGAACACGTGTAGGTCAGGGTGCTAATCCAAGCCTGCAGGCTGGAGTCGTCTTTACGGCCTCGTTGAAAACGGGGGAGTCCGTCGTCGCCAGAGAGCAAGAGTCGTTGAAAAGAGGGGATGATGGAGACGGGACAGAAAGGAGAGGAGACGCGCAGACGAGAGCGTGTGCAAATAAAAGTGGAAGGGAGTCAGACTTCCTGGCCCCCGAGTGACACTCAACCCAACCTAATGCTGATCACATAACACACAACACACACAATTTCCGTGTGTCACATCCCATGTGGGTCTAATGGCTGTTTCTATGTATGACTCCTTACATAAAAGTCCATGTGATAACACACAGGGCACACACCACCGATGCTGTTAAGCAGAGGAGGCCCCCCGGGCGACTTTAGCCTCGGGGAATTTTTCACTTTATAGTTGCGTGTCACATTTACGACACTCGTCAGACACCCACTCACAAGCCCGAGCTGGAAGAGCACACCTACATGTCAGAAGTGTGTGATGGAGTGAAACTATATTGCCGGTTTTTAAATAGGCAAATGTTTTGGATTTCAACACTGATATGGACAGTTGACAGTTGACCAGCGCTCGCATGCCCTTAACAGAAGTATCCCATATTAGTAATACCTGGCCCCTGAAATAGCTGAAGGCCGGTGGAACCTTATGTAAGCCAAGCTATGATTGATGTTTCATGGGAGGCATTAACATCTCTGACATGGCAGACATACTCCGAGAGCTGGAGAGAGAATGCCGGTCTAGAAGTTACGATCCAATAAGTCTACATCTTCACATAAAAGTTTTGTAGAGTTTCCCCGCAGCTTGATTTTTGTCGTCTAAGTGACTAACATTGTGTTTCTCTGCACAGTACGACGTAGTGGGCCACTCAGGCGACGGCTACGATATCGAACTGGTCAACGCCGACAAAGTCCCCAAGAACAACAAGCAGAGACTGAAGGTCCTCAAGGTACACATTCTTAACCAATCTCGGAAAGCGCTGTTAATAATTATCTCTTCCAGATATAGGAATAGATTTACCTTCCAGTTCCACTTTGAGGTCAGGGTATGCGACGTTGTGATGTTACACATGACTTAATGTGTGATGAAAGCATTTTCTAAATCTCGTTAATCCACATGAATAGACAGGAAGTACACAAATGACCAGCATCTCATGCATGCTGAACGGCTGTCACATGCTACAGCAGGTTTTACTGGGTTATCCCAGCGAGCGTAGTTTAACTACCAGGGCCTGAACTGTTAACTGTCATTATTCATTAATCACAAGTCGGCCATGTGAAGGTGCCTTGTTCTCAAGACTTCTGAAAGGACCACAGCGAGAGGATCTATTCATAGTGCTTTTTGTGTCCACATGGCCTAAGCTTTCCATTCGGCTATATATTTTCTGTTCCGCGGTGCATCGTGGAGATGTGAATAGCAGCAATGCTCTCCTAAAACAAACATTCATCATTTGGTTTGTGTGTTTACTGCCAAACAGTTTCTGCAGAATGTTCTGTGAAACTTGTTGGGTTGATTTCATTGAGCTTACTTAATTATTTAAAAGTCTGTTTAAACGTAGATGGAAAATATACATATATAATATATATAAAGTTTGATACTTTGATGTTTTCTGATTGTTTTTGGTTTTTATTTATAAATGGAAATTGATTTTCCTTTATTTTATTGTTCTTAAGGAGTATATCTGCCTTCTGGCCTTTATCTACTAGATGTCAAAAGTTAGAGGAAGTTAGCTTAAAATGATTAGAATCTAAGGATGTCATATCAGAAATGTGTGATTGTGTCCCATCTGGCCTTCCCTGCAGACCATGCATGCACACGCTCAGTTCTGCATGAGCGGGGACCACACTCTGGAGGGCACCGAGGCCAGCATCAAAGAGCTTTCGCGAGAGGAGGCCGACGAGCACTTCGTGGTGGTCCTGAGCGACGCCAACCTGGAGCGCTACGGCATCCGTCCTGAGCGCTTCGCCCAGGTCCTGACGTCCGACCCGCAGGTCAACGCCTTCGCCATCTTTATCGGCTCCCTCGGCGATCAGGCAGAAAGGTGAGGCGGCTAACACGAGTCACGAAAGAGGAATATAAAGAGATTCATGAACTGAAAGATATTGCAGCGTTCAGAGTAAAGTCAAAGACAGTTTTTCTCACAGTGTGGAAATGATTTATGGACAAGTTCTGGTTACATGTGAGCATGTGGACACTTTTTACTGTTTCTTTTTTAAACCCTCCTGATTGGCTTCACATGTCATCACCCTTAGTTTACTGGACAAACTGTCATAAAGAGTGGGGCATAAGTAAAGCACATCTGTGACAATACAGTAAATTTAAAAATAAAAAAAAACAATACAAAAGTGTGTCGATGTCGCAGTTTACAGACCTATTCAGTGGAAAGTCATAGTAGTTACTAGATGTACTAAACATCTGACAGCTGGCTGTAGAGTTTCTGGAAGGGGACATATTAATGCATTATTCAGATGGAAATGTCTGGTTCGCTCCTCAAACAGGCACCAGTCTGTATTCTTATTTTGGAAAAAATGTTCCCAAAGTCCATTTTTGTTTTTTTTTCTGTTCCAGGCTCCAGAAAACCCTTCCGGCGGGGAGATCCTTCGTCGCCATGGACACCAAGCAGATCCCCCAAATCCTGCAGCAGATCTTCACGTCGACGATGCTGTCCAGTGCCTGACCCCAACGAGTGCTTCAGATCCCCCCAACAGTATCAAAAACGGTAGACGTTTGCAGTGTCTTTTCACAGCGTGCCCTTTTACTCCCTCTCATAGCGTCGCGTAACGGAACAGAATCGGGCCACGGACTCTATTCGCTGTTTTTTACCAGAAAGCTTTGGCCCGTCAGGAAGCTGTGACAGAGTTAAATACTGTTTAGATGCTTTGTCCTATCCCCTCTGGGAACAGAGACTGTGCAAGTCTGTCATCTTGGCTCAGTGCGAGTGGGAAATGACACGCAAGTTCAACATCTTTTTGATGACCTAAAGATGCCTGGAGCCTTTCTCACCCTCCCCCCCCTTTGGGTTCAAAAGCAGTTTATTAGTATTAATTGCGTATTCGGCCGACACGGGGATGACGCACTCACTCAGGCCTGTGTGCTATTTTGGATGTGAGCAGCTCAGAGCAAAAGGGCTTAAGAACGCTGCACTTTTTTCGGGGGGGGGGGGATTTCCTCCTCCTTTATCAGCCGTCGCACAAACACTCACAGGCGGGAAAAGACACCGACCTGAGCGGCGTTAGCTCAGCTCCTGTGGAATGCTGGGACTGGGAGCGGGGGGGGTATTTCCCACCTGACTGCACACGCTCTTTAAAGGCAGCCGCCCCCTAACCCCCCCCCCACCGTGTCGGTGGGCCTCCGCACATGTCAACACGCCGAAGCCCTTACCTTGTGGAGCTTGTGAGCTCTTCTCAGCCCTGCAAGGAATCTCAGATCACCTTTCATTATCAGACCTCCAACTCCCCTTTCTCCTTCTAAAATATGACACACACACACACACACCTCGACCACCGGTGGGGTTAGTGTATAAAAAGAACTAAGGTTTGGTGGGGTGAGTGTGGGCTCAGTTCTGCATGCTAGGAGTAACGTGCCACGTGCATTTAACATCACATTAGCTTGTTGTGCTTGTCACAGTCATGACATTCTGACTATCTGTCTGTTATCTCCATTAGTGGGATCCCGCCACCCACTTTTTAAAATGTATTTTATTAATCGGCTAACCTCGTTTCAGCTCTCACTCGGCTGACTAACTCAAGAGCAGAGCACTAAGTACATGCCTGCGTTCTATGACCACTTGTTGAAACCCACTGTCAACGAGGCGTCTTCTTCTCATTTAGATTGTAAAGTAGTTATTTCATTGTACATGATCATAAAGTGTATCAGAAAATGTACCGTAATTTAATAAATAAATCAGCATAACTCAATCCTTTCAGTCCTTCCAGCTTTTGTCTGTTGGAGATGATTTCTGCTGCTTCTTTATAATTATGGTTTGGGTTACTCTAATGTTTAGTCCATTTAAAATGGTCCCTGTTCTGCTTATTTCTTCACAGGATGAGAAGGAAGGTAAGAGGCATACAGACATTTCACATTAGGCGTCTGAAAGGCTTTTCTAACTTCATATTCAAGACTAGAAGCCTATTATTAGGAAAAATCAGTTCATATGGACCATATGAAGGTTTTATTGTGTCTGGGGACCTTATTGGATCATAGAGCACTCACCGTCCCTCTCCTTTCCTCATAGTCAGTTTTTCCATGCCTTGGAACTCACTCCTAAAGCCTCCGGCTTCCTCTCATCACTACGTAAAGTTCAAATGACACGATGCAAATCTTAAGGTATCATTTCAGATACCATAAGATTTGCAAATCCAGGGCAAAGCACTTTATGGGAGGAACCTCTCAGGTTTTGCTTGTTTTTTTAGACTTCATCACCCAAAATGTCTCCATTGGCTTTATTGACATTATTTTTTTCCCCCATTTCTGACCAGTAGGAACACATGAATGAGATTCAACAGCAGCATTTCCTCACTGTTCACTCCAAAGAAGTGTGACGGGTGAAGCTGTATTGACTCATTGCGTATCACCCTGGATTTGCAAATGACAAATAGACTCTTGGGACGGTATTAGGAAAGCACAAAGACTTACCTTTAATGCACAGCTGCTCGGGCTACTTATAAAAGTCCCTGTGAGATTACAGGAGAGAGAGATAAGATGTCTAGACTCCCGGGGCATTACGTGCATTAGTAAGAGCTCATTGTCTGCTTGTTTGGGATTCCGCCGTCCTAAACTCTGACATAATGTGTGAGTCTGTTTGTGGTAAGAAAAATCAACAATGATCCAATGCTTAGTCCTAACGTCCAACCTATTTTGGGAGATGTCATCATATTTGACTCTGGAGCTCATTTACAAAGCAAAACACTCAATAAATGTGACCTGTGTGTGCGTGTGTGTGTGTGTGTGTTGACTGGAGGATGGACAGCATTGGCACACAGCGACTTAACGGAGCCCCGAAGGTTCAGATAGGCCCAAAAAAAGGGAGAAAGTTATGTTGTATCAGATCTTTTGAGTTAAAATTCATCTTAGAAACATCAAATATGTGATATTACATACAGAAAGCGTTTAGAAGTAGATTCGAACTTTAATTTGTGGATTAAGAAATTAATTGTGACTAGTTTTTAATTGCAGTGCCTGACCCGATGTCTTTTACATACAGAGATCTGCTCCCCCTTTTGCATGAAGACAGACTAAAACAGAGACTCTGAGGAAATAAATCTCACACTGTCGTGTCTGTTGGCGAGTTAGAGGAATTTATCAATAAATGTGCTCCAACATGAGCGCTTCGGTCCCTCGCGGTGGTTGAGACAGACAGCCGCTCCCTTTCCCAAAGCTGTATGTCAAACTGATAACTACGCTGTGGTTTCTGAGTGGGTGTCAGGGCCTCAGTCTGTGGGAGAGACGGCAAATTTAAAAAAAAGTAAAAAGAGAAACAGGCCTCATCGGGTAAAAAAAAAAAAAAAGATATCCCGAGTTCGTCGGACTGCATTCTGGGCACCCGGTACTGGGACGACCACCTGACACCTGCCCCTGTCAGGCCTTAATTGAGCTGTGCGTTTTTGAGAGGGGGGGAGCCTTATGAGCTGGGCCGCTGACAGATCCAAAGACAGATCGGCGGAGAGCACCTGATCCAGAAAAATGTTGATGCGCGGACGATCGGGCAGCCGTTCAGACTGTTGGCGCGGCGATGAAAAACAAACTGCTGCAAAGAGGGGATTACACCTCTGCCTTTCAGCACGTTTTCGTAAGCACCACGCAGAGCCGGTGGCGTTTTCATATGGAGCCGACGACACAATCGCAGACAGACCCACAAATGAGAAAAGCCTGGAAAACAAACTCCCATGTTTAAGTACATAGAAGTAGTTTTTTGGTCGATCAGGGATTGAAGTGAAGGCCCTTATAGGATCGACCAGGTGGAAGTCTGGAGAAACCTCCAGTCGGCCCCTGACAAACATCACATCCCATCTCTGGTGGGGATGAAGCCAAAAGCAGCCCGGTAATCGAACTGCAGCAACTAGATACACTACAGACGGGGGCTGGGCTCCACTTCCAGAATTATCCGGGGGGGAGGAGGCCTGGGGGAAGTGTAAAAATACTCAAGAGAGAAGAGGTTTTCCCAGGCAACAAGCAAAAAAAAACACTTGAGAAGAGACTCCATCTATCCCACCCAAAGAGTTACCCTGGACTGCCCTCAGAGTCCACTGGCCGGCCGTGGCAATCTCATATTGTATTTTACAGAGCACACACACACACGCATGCAGTGTCTCAGTGCTTTTCTGTGTAAATGGTTAAAGTTTAAACTGATTAACACATGCAGTCTCTGGGGAAAAGTCGTTTTCTCATCTGCGTGTGGTTGCTGAATAACTCAGAAAACCCTGACCGGACCAGAGTGAGACATCTGTGGTAATCACATCCAGTCCAGATAGCAACTTGTTGTGTTAACATGAAACTGAGACAACGAAGGCCAAACTGTTCCACTTTTTAATCCCAAGCTTTCAGTGTCATATTTCCTAAACTAAATGTACGTCACGCTGAGGTAAATAATAATGCTAATTCACAATACAGTGTCTTTAAAGAAGCTTGTATGTGGCTGAAAAGTTTGTTTTCACATTACATCACAAATTTTAGAGTGAAGTCAGATTTCAGAGGCTCCTTTACTAATGTCTACTGTCCAGACAGCTGGACCTTTCACGCAGTCCTGTGATGAGTCTTACGTCACGCAGCATGCAGAGGATGTGGGTTTGGCACATATTAGTGTTGTCAGCTCTCAGAAAAGATATGATGATAATTGTTGTCCCTGACTACCAGCAAACTGTTGTGCATACCCCTATGCTTTTGCTGTCTTTTCCATGCTTATTACGTTATATGGGTGTTTTTTTTATTTGATTCAGTCTTCTACAGAATTTCTGATGTTGTTTTACATTCTCAGACAATCTCATCTGAGAATGTACTCATGATTGGGAGTAAAACTAATTCAAGGGATTTGGGCACATTTTTGGAGCATGTGCTCTATTTTTAACACTTACGTTGGTATGCGTGTGTTATATTTCACACTTGGGGATTTATGTGACACGTGGAGGAACTCCCCTTCTAACGGTGTTTGTCTAAAGTTGTATTGACAGGATGTGCAAAGTGGAGACACAAGTCTGAAAAATCTCTGGGAGGCTTTTCTTTGCACTGCCCACGTTTTCCTTTGACCAGTCAAATGAAATCAGCCCCGTTTTTCCTCAGACGGCACAAAGTCCAACAACACATAGAAGTCAGAGGCTTTCACGCTTTTTATTGAGTTTACAGGAAAATTACAGCACACTTGCATTTACTGCATCGAATATTTAGTTAGAACCATCATCCTAAATGACCTAATGGACATTTCGCAGCGTTCAAAATTGGCACACTTTGACATAATGTGACAAAATGATTCATTTCCTCACGTGATTCCACTTTAATAGAAACGTGGAAGTGAAACTAAAAGACCATTTAGATTCAGTATTAAAGTAATGTTCATGTCGGCATTAATGATCGCTTCTGTATGGACTCAAAAGAAGAACCGGGTACCATCAGCAGATTTTAAATTGACTCATTTTCCGATTTGTATTACATCAGATCACATCATGTGTGCATGCATTTCCTTCATCAGACGGCATGTCCTTATATTCACATTCTGGCTCGTAGTCGTGGTAACCGCACATGTTGTAACAGACAGCAGAAATGTTTCTTTTTCTCATTGTTGCTGGTGTTTGCAGCCTTTTCCGGTCCCTGCCTGGTGATTTGAATGTGTTTTGGCCTCTGTGCGCACAACACACGCTCTGCTGATT